AAATCCTTATACTTACATCCAAAAAACCCCCCAAAAACCTGTTTTCCCAAGTACAAGGTGATGTTGGGGGAGGGAGTGGGGCAGAATAAACAACAATTTATTTGAAAAATCGAAAGTTAAATTCAATGTGAATTAGTAACAATTTTTTTTTTATGGTTCAGTCTTTTTTCAGTCATGTCTGACTCTCTGTGATGCCATTTGGGGTTTTCTTGGCAAAGATACTGGAGTGGTTCTCCGTTTCCTTCTCCAGCTCATTTTACAGATGAGGAAATTGAGGCAAACAGGGTGAAGTGACCTGCCCAGGTCACGCAGCTAGTGTCTGAGGTAAGATTTGAACTCAGGTCTTTCTGGCTCCAGGCCTGGCATGCTCTATTCCTACCTACCCAGATAGTACCTACCCAGAAATAGGGCTGTGTGGTAAATAGACCTTGGGTTTCATTGACAAGCCTAGGGTCCAGGACTAGGGAAGGAATGCCTTGGTGAGTTCTATCCTGGTCAGAGCTCAGCTGGAATAATGTGTTCATTTCTGGGTACCACATTTTAGAAAGAACTTTGAGAAGATGGAAACTACTTAAAGCAGAGGTTCTTAATGCTTTTTATGTGTCTTGGATCCTTTTGTCGGTCAAGTAAAATATATGGCCCATATGGACCCCTTCTTAGAATCATATTTTGTTTTTTTTTTTAATGGACAAGATAAATTAATAGGATTACAAAAGACACCAGTTATAAACCCAGAATCAGGAAGACCTAAGTTCAAACCTGACCTTGGATGCTTCCTAGCTGTATGACCCTGGGCAAGTCGCTTGACCTCTGTTTGCCTCAGTTTCCTCATCTGTAAAATGGGGATAATAATGCCATCTACCTCATAAGGCTGTTGTTTGGATCAAATGAGATAATAGTGCTTGGCACATAGCAAGTACTACGTAAATGTTAGCTATCATCATCACCATTATAACCACACACAGAAGGATTTAGGGGTGTTTAGCCTGATTGAAGACAGGAGTTGGAGCATAAATGATCATTTTAAAAAACTCTTTGAGGACTTTCATGTGTTCGAGGAATTAAGACCTTTTTCTTCCTGATCCCAGTGGGTAGAATTATAAGTAGCTGGTTGAAGCTTCAAGGCAAAAAACAGCCTTAAAACCCTCCCAAATAATGAGAACTGTCTAAAAGTGTCATGGATTGTGGGTGTCTCCCCACAACACACCCAACCTAGAAGTCTTCAAGCAAAGGCCACTTCTTGGTTATGTTAGGGCAGTTGAGTTGGTGCAGTGGATAGAGGCCTGGACCTGAGGTGTGGGAGACTTGAGTTAAAATCCAGCCTCAGACACTTACTAACTGTGTGACTCTGGGTAAGTCATTTAACCTCTGTCTGCCTTAGTTTCCTCATCTGGAAAATGGGGATAATAGCAGCACTTACCTCACAGGGCTGTCGTGAGGATCAAATGAGGTAATATTTGTAAGTGCTTTGGAAACCTAAAAGTCTACACTGTTTACACAAAGGCTAGTTATTATTATATTGTAGAGAGTAGTCTCATTCATGGACAAGTTAGACTAGTCAGGGTTTCTTAAACTCTTTCCACTCCAGACCCCCTTTTGTGTTTTGATGCCAGCCTTCCTTGTTATTGCACGGATGGAGGGCATGTGCAGTGCAAAGTGCACATGCTGTGTGTTCAGAACCAAGGCTGCAGTGAAGTTGCCGATGAAACACTTACAAGTGCTACCAGAAACACCTCGGATTCATTGCATGTTTAATTTTGAATTAATTTTTGGTCGTTGCACTTTCAGAAACCTTTTACTGTTGCCAAATTTTTCCAGACTCCATATGGGGTCTCGATCCACAGTTTAAGAAACACTGGACTAGATGGTATCTGAGATGATCCTTCCAACTCAAATCAATTGATAAACATTTATCATTTTATTATTACGTATTATTCCAGGATTCTATATGTAATGATTTTTACTCTTACTTTTGAAAGGAAAATTTTTACTCAAATTTAAGGAAAATCAGGAACTGGAGAAAATTCTGAGTGGGTGTTTCAGAGAAATTTCAGAGCACAGGAACTGAAAGATTTGTTTCAAGGGAACTCCTGCCTGGGCTTTAGAATGAAGGTGGGTGTTGGGTAATGGAATCAAACAAAAACTAACAATTTCTAAGAAAGAAGCATGGCCTTGGTCCTACTGTAGAGTTGTGAAAAGTTACTGGGTCTCATCCTAGGGCCTCCAGGTGTATTTTGGGAGCAGGGTTTGTGGAACAGGTCTTGAAATACAAAATGGAAAACGAAGAAGGAAAAAAAAATGGAAAACAAACAAACAAAAAAAGAAATACAAAATGGGTAAATGTTTCCATTAATAAGGAGATTCTGTGGGAATCCACAGAAGTGGAAGGAAATCTGGGAGTGGGAAAGGGGATTCTGGAAAATGGTAACCAGGATTAGAACAAAAACAGGAATTCCAAACTCCTGCCTTAGACTTCAGACATAGTTACTGATTATGATGATAATACTCCAACATTCTATTAGTGATACAAGAGTGCCTCTACCATGAAAGTTAATTTAGGTGTATTTATATGTATATATATTTATTGTACAATTTACACACTTATAATATAACTTATGTGTATATGTTAAAATATTAATAAAAACATCAATCAAATTTATCAAATCATCAAATTTATATTAATTATATAATCAATCTAATAAAATCATGACAAAATTAAATCATATAATTGATCCACATATACATGCATACATATGTATATACACACCTATATACTATACATGCAGATATACAATATAATTAGAGAATATGAAAAATGTTATGTATGTATATGAACATGTATATATACATGCACATACACACATATACACATGTGTGTACATATACATACATGCACATATATGTATGTGTATAGGTGTGTATGTATGTTGAGAACTTGAGGACTATATCTTACCAGTCACATGGATGACAGGTATGTATATGTCCATTACTTATAGGTAAATAATGTTGATAAAAAATGGAGATTCTCCTCATTTCCTGATCCACTCATATATAGGGATGAGTACTTTAATATAGGTGAATTTTGAGGGAAATCAGTAGTGGGAAATATTTATGGCTGGTTTGAGGGGCAAGAAATTGTGATTTTTCCCACTAGATGCTACACAGGGGAACTTGGCTTGAGTTTACCTACTGAATAAACCTGATTAATTCTGGCTAGATAAACTGAAATGATAAATTTTGAATCCCAATGTGGCAGTCTATAAATTCAATTTGACATTATTCAAAGTTTGCATTTGAAACCATAGTTTTTACCCACCTCTGTGCCCATCAAATTTATCGGGAGCTTGTTAAACCTGACTTCCATCATTTGAATTTCTTCCTTAAATGAAGAGTGAATTACATCTATTCTATTGTCAAAAAGCAGGCAAAAAAAAAAAAAAAAAAAGAAAATCGGAGAGCCTTAGATCATAGGAAAGTCAAGGCATGGTTTGCCCGTAGTGCTCATTGTAAACCTTGAGTTTTGAACCCAGCTCCACTGACTCCAAATCTCAAACAACCCCAAATGTTCATTGGATCGTAATTGAGGTGATTTCTATACATCGCAGAATCTCGCATCCAAAGGGACTTCAAAGGCAATCTACTCCAAAACCTATGAATATTTAAGAATACCACCTTTTGTTTCAACCGCTCTCTTCACCTCTGGGAACCTCAGCTCAAAAGAAATCAGTCAAGACCCTCTCTCACCCAACCCCTCCAACTGAATTAACGAGAGATTTTAAAATAGATTCTTAAAATCTTTGTGATCTCTTGAGTACAGTTGGAACTAACGACGTTCCAAGAGAGCAAACATTCCAAGACGATTGTTACCAAAAGTCCCCCAGGTTCCCTCCTTTAAAAATCTGCAAGGCTTATGCAATCCCATCAATTCCACTAAGGCAGGCATTAATTCTACACCTACTAAGTGCAACCCGGGCGTGGGAAAAGGAAGGAGCCCCAGCACGGGAAGGATAAGAGAACAATGCTGATCTCCGGGGGCACACCAAATTCACCCTCCCTAAAGGGTGGGTATTGTCATGCCCCCGTCAAATGTACGTTCTTTGCAACTTTGTTTTTTTAAAGTTTTTTATTTTCTAAAGAATTATTATTTAGAAACAAATCACAAGGTCAAAGCACTAGTAACTCCAAGTTCTGATTAAGAATCTCAAAGATAAGCAAAATGAGACTTAGTTTCTAGGGCTACTCCCTGAGGCACAGCAGCGGAAACATTGGGTTCCCGGGCTCCGGGGCTGGGTAACTCTGGAGCGCGCGGGGTGCATTAGTGCCAAGGCAACCCCAGGGCTTCGCGGGCGTTTAGACTGCGGGAAGCAAACGGGGTGGGGGAGGTTCCCTGCTTGGAAAGCCAGCTGAGCCCAGGTGCAGGTAGGAGCCCGTGCACTTTTAGCACAGGATCGCAAATCGCAAGTCCAGAAAGGCTGTACTCACCCCTCCCCGCCCGGCCTCCCGAATCCCAGGGGCGGGAGGGACAGCGCCGCGCGCCAACCCAGGGGGCGGGGAAAAGCCCGGATGAAACCAGCCGCGCGCGGCCCAGCCCACTCACCTCTTCGAATTGCGGCGCGGGGGCGGTCGTCGCCTTCCTCTTCCGCGCGCTGATTGGCCGAGATCCGGGCGAGCCTGCCTTCGATTGGGGCGTGTCGCTGTCAGTCTCCTCAGATCGCGGGGCTGGGTTTGTTGCGGGAAGGGAGACGGCGGCGTCGCTCGACGACGACGGGTGGAGGAAGGGACGCGACGTCGCCGCTGCCGCCGCCGCCGCCGCCGCCGAGGCACAAGCTGAGGCAGAGGCGGAGTGAGGGGAGGTGCGGAGCGGGGCGGAGAGGCGGCCCGAACTCCGGTTCCGCATCCCTCTCGCGGCACGCTCGCTGCCTCCTCCTCGCTTTTCCCCAGCGGTGCGGCCCGGACCCGAGCGGCGGCGGCGGCGGCGGCGGCGAGGCGAGGCGAGGAGGGCCCGGGGGGCCTGAGAGCGGCGGGGTCCCGGACCCCGCCTTCGTGCCCAGCGCCATGTCCTGGATGTTCAGGAGGTGAAGGGGCTGGGGGGGCGGGCAACGGTTGGCCCCCGATCCCCAAATCATCCCCCTCCGGGAATCCCCCGCCATGCGCGTGCCGGGTGGGAGGGGCCCGTCCTGCGCGCGCCCCCCCCCGGCCCTCAGCGGGGGGTCCCCGTGTCCGAGACCTTGGCCCGGGGCGCGGGGGGAGGGGAAGGGCAATGGAGGAGGAGGAGAAGGGCTGTGGGCATCGCCGCCCCTCACCTGTCCCGGGCTGCCCTCGCTGGGGGAATCCCGTTTAAAGGGTCCCAAAAAACCAAAACAAAACACGCACAACACAAACAAAAACCCAACTGGGAAGCAGCCTTCCGTGCCGCGAGCTTGACCAGAGGACTTTATCTTTTCCTCCCTTTAGGACGGACGCACCCCAGGTGTTCTTTAAAGTGTGAGTTACCCTTACGCATGTTAAACTTGTGCCCACGAAGCCCACGGGCGGTCTCGGCGCTCCCGGGTGTAGAGGTCGGGAGTCGGAAGCGGGCAGAGTAGGGACCCGAGTGTTTATTCCTAGCTCCTGGGCTTGTCTTTTCCTCTACTTTTAAATGAAACATTGCCCGACGATGCACGGCACGGGGCACCCAATGGGATTTGAGTCGGGCGAACTTTATGGGGTTTTTTGATTTTGTGGGGATTTGTAAATAGACTCCCGAGGGCGGGGACTTTATGTTTTGCATACCCGTACTTTAAATCGCACTGTGATCCAAAGTGTTAGAGCACTTTGTAAGCATTAAAGCATAAAATATTGAATGTCACAATTTGGGGGGGGCGCAGTTTTACCTTTGGGAGACAATTTAGGGTTCTAGTTAGGAAACTATAGATCTTATCATCTGTTCGCTCATACCCATTATACTATGGGTACATATAAATGGATAACAGGATTGTTGCCCCCTTGGACTTAACGCTTTAGCAGTGGAGATAAACACATTTAAAATGCAGATTCACTGTACAAACACTATGGGCCTTAAGGCTAGGAACAGAGAGGCGTTATGGAGGTTCTAGCAAGGTGCTCTGAGACTAACCACCGGAAGAGATGTTTTCCTGGGGGTTGGATCTAGGTATCTTAATGGAGGAAGGGGGGTCAGTCAAGAAACATTAGTGCCTGTCATGTGCCAGATGCTGTGCTTTGCAGATACAAAAAAGATACAAGTGGTGCTTGAGTAGGGCTTTGAAAGCTGGGAGAGATGTTCTGAGACATGGGGGAATAGTGAGAGAGAAGTTTGAAAGAGTAGGTGGATCCCCATTGGGCAGGAATAGGAAAGTAGGGCTAGAGAATTTGAACTTTATTTAGTATAGGGGAGGAATATGAATGCTAGACTAAGGAATTTGAACTTTATTCAGTAAAAGGAAGAAGCTATTGAAAGTTTTTGAGATAATATACACAAACCACTTTGCAAACATTAGAACACTATATAAAGGCTAGCTTTCTATTTTCTGAGTAGGAAATTGATAAAAACAGACTTGTACTTTAGGAAGATAAATCTTGATTTGGGTCTGGGTGGGTTGTAGGGGGAAGAGACTAATGGTGAAAGGTATTGAGGACTTGAAGTAGAATGGTCACAGTGGAAATGGAAAGGAGGGGGATGTGTTTTATTGATTTACTCTAAAAACTTGTTGACTGGATATGCCTGAGTTGGAGCAAAGGCGAAATAGGCCAAAAGTGACTTGAGTAGTCTGACAAAATAGTGATGTTATTAGCCTGGGAAGAAAACAAGGAATTCTGAGCTGTTAGGGGAAAGGGAGGTTACTATTTGAGAGGGAGGTTAAAATTTGGACAGAGCGAGCTAGAATTGCTGGCATTGCATCCATCCAAGCGCAGGTGTCTGGCAGGTGTGGGAAATGGGGAACAGGACCTAGGGAGAGGTTGGAAGCCATTGACGTAGAGTAAGAGTTGAAGCACTGAAAGATGGATAGAAAAAAGAGAGCTAAAGAAAACGAAAAGCCCTAGTTATGAATTGTTATGAATTCAATGTTTTTAAATGAAATCATACTTTATTATAATACTATAGCATTATGAAGAAGCATAAGTGACAGAGTTCATAGACCTCCGGGCCTGATCAGGAAGATCTGAGTTCAAATTCAGTCTCAGACACTTATCAAGCTGTGTGACTCTGGGCAAGTCATTTAACCTGTCTGCTTCAGTTTCCTCATCTGTAAAATGGGGATGATATTAGTACCTACTTCCCAGGGTGTTTGTAAAGATCAAATGAAATGACTGTAAAGGGTTTAGCCTGGCACAATGTAGGTGCTTTATAAACATTAACTATTATTGTTATTAGAATTCAGTCTATAGAAGGTTTGTTTAACTTCTACTGAGTCATTTAATAGAACTGGTTAGTCTAGAATCATTGACCAAAAACTGTATCCTCAAAATTCATATCCAACACCAGCACTGTATAAGGAGTTGGTGGGGGTGTGTGTGTGTGTGCACGCGTGTGCGTGCGTATAAATGGCAATTTTTTTATGGCAAGAATTTGCTAGAATCCTGGTACAAATCCAGAGTGGGTATTCTTAAACTTTTCTTTGTACCCAGTTGTTAGTTTGGTGAAGCCTTTTGACACCTTTTCAAAATAATCTTTTTAAATACATGGGATTACAAAGGAAAATAATCACATTGAAATACAGTTAACAAAGTTTTTTTAAGTTAACAGATTCAGGTTAAGTACTTCTGATTTAGAAGATCTTTTGTGACTTAGTCATTAATCTTTATGTTTTCTGACTTGGGTATTTAAATTTACTAATTGATTAGAGGAAAGACCATAGTAGCAAGAAGATGCTATGCAAATACAATAAAACTGTAAGGAATTATTATTATTATAAATCAGTTTTGGGAAGGAGAATGGCTATTTGATAAAATTTTGTGCCATGTGAACATCATTTTGATATTTCTAAAATTGATGTTACCTATAGATGAAATAGTCATACTCTCATATGGTAGAGGTAAGCTATTTCATAATAGCCTTATTTTTGCCAATTTTTTCTCTCCTTCATAAGACTTTGACATACAAGTAAAGTTAAAATCTAAAGCATGTATTTTGAATTAAAGTAATGTTTTTTGTAATTAGGTTGTCAGCTATATGGAAAGGAACATGTGAAGTCATTTGTTCTACAGGACTTTACATTTCATAGTTGGGGTGACAGATGTATTAAAGGCAATCTGTGATCATAGGGAAAGAATTTGGGCAGGTCGTGTTTCAAGAATAGGGGAAAGGAGAGGAGAACTATACCATGGGACCCTAAGATGAAGGTCAAGAGGTATTGGACTTTGCTGGGAGGAGCCAGTGGTTCAGTTATTTTGGACCAAGGTTAGAGATGGTGACTTTTAAGAGATTGTTGATGGGGTAATTGGTGTATACATTCTTGATGTGAGGCAGAAGAGGGTGGTATATATATAAAAAGATTCACTGAAACCAAATGGGCAAAATTCTCAAAAATCCATTCACAGGGATGTAGATAGAGCTAGCTCTTTATAAAACAGTACAACATTAAAGTTGAATTCCCTAAAATTGGATTTTTCCTGTGTGTTAAAAAGAAAATATTTGGAACTTACTTTAGGTATTCAGAACACTTTACATTAAAATTGTAGGATATATAAAATCTGTAAATACTTGAATTGGTTCCAGGTAGTAGAGCTACTGTATTTTCTCATCCAATGGTTCTTAAAATTGTAGTTCGGACTAGGGACAATGAGAGCTCCTAGATGGACCATGGTCTCGTCACTTAAAAGAGGAAAGGGGGAGAAATCTTGGAGCCAGGAGGGACCTTGTTGGTCTCAGGTCCTTTGAGGCCAAATTTGGTTCTTTTTTTTTCCCGCAATTTTACCACGCTAGTGCCGCTCCACCCCCCCCCCCCCCAACTCTTCATTTTATAGATTGAGGATGTAGGTGATGGGACTTACTCAAGGTCATTTAGTTAGTGGTAGAACCAAAGACACGTATTATGACTTCCAGACCAGTGCCATACAACCTTCCTTATATATCATCTTTATGATAATGGATAATAATTTGCTTATATTTTAATAAAAAAGACCACTTCATCCAAAGTAAGACTTGACTTTTTTTTCCCCCTTGTTTTAAATAGGGATCCTCTTTGGAAATATCTGCAGTCTTTCCAGTATGGAGTCCATGCAAGTTTTTCACACTGCACCTATCCCAATTTATTTTCTCCTTTTGACCCTGAAGACATTATCCCTCCAGAAGACTTTGTAGCTGGTGATGAGGATCTAGATTCGGTTTTATTTGGAACTTTGCGAGGTCATGTGGTTGGATTACGATATTACACAGGAGTGGTAAGTAGAATATGATGGTTCACTTGGTTTAGTAGTCTGGGTATTAATCTTACAATTGAAGAGGTGTTCTCAAAAGGAATATGTTTAGCAAATGCAGTTTTCCATTGTAGGGCTTACCTTCAATTAATTATAGGGTAATGGTTTGGTAATGAGAAAATAAGGTTTTCAAAAAATGACTATTATATGCTAACAGAGTGTCAATAGTATCTGCAAAGGTTTATCATAGATATTTTTGTATTGTATCTTATAGTTTTTTAGTATCTCTACTTCCTCCTTTTCCTGTCCCTTTTAAATGTCTTTCTAACTCTGCTTTTGTGTTCTTTTCAGTCTTACTGTGCCTCTTTGTCTATGCATTTTCTCTGACTCTTTGCTTTTGGACTTTATCTGCCTCTAATAGAGGTACCTATTTTCTCTGTTCCATATACAAGTTTCTGTCTTTTCTTACTAGCACACCATATGTAATGTGTTTCTTTAAGCTTTTGCTTCTACTTAATCATATAGACTCATTCTGGCATTCATAAGCTGCCAACAATGTGGACTCTTTTTGTTTTTAAACTCAAGTATGCATTTATAATGGCCACTTTGCAAAAATGAAAGCAGAAAAAGCAGCACTGATGAACTAATAAAGATGAAATTGGCATTTGAAAAAATTCCAAGAACTATAGCTATTGTGACAGAATTTTAAGCTGTGTGCAATGGTTAATTTAATCTTAGCAAAATAGGAATGTATTTTGGAAATTTCAAAACAAAGTGTTAACTACAAAATTAAGATACAGTGTTGGTTAATGTACAAATTGAGAATTATCAGGTTAGCACTAGCTTTTTCAGATATAAAAAGGAAGGACAGTACCAGAAAATATGAGTTTACCACATTGTATGAGAAAGAGAGGAGAGAGAGAGACGATATCCTTCAACAACTTTAGTCTGAAACCCCAGAAAAATATCCTGGGTACTATACTGTAGGCTTTGAGCAGTACAATTTAAAGGAATGTATCATAAACTAAGCATGTCACTTATGTTTAATATTTTGTTAGGTTAATAATAATGAAATGGTGGCACTTCAAAGAGAACCTAATAATCCATATGACAAGAATGCAGTGAAAGTAAATAATGTCAATGGAAATCAGGTGGGTCACATAAAGAAAGAACTTGCAGCTCCTTTGGCCTACATCATGGACAACAAACTGGCCCAAGTTGAAGGGTAAGAATTTGGTTTGGAGAATTTTACAGATACCTTTAGGCTAGTTCTTGAGTTGTTGGTATTTTTCCTATTGGTAATCAATCATCTTTTCTTAAGTCTATAAAACGCTAACCACCTTTTTATCATAGCTAGTGTTGTGATTGAAGATCAACTATGAAAGTGTGTCAAGAAGTTTCAGCAAGTGGAATGTTCAAGAACAATCAGACAGCTAGAATTTGTCTCTGTTCTTGACACATCATCTCCATGCCTTTTTATTTTCTTGTAATTCTGTGTGTTTTGGTAGGTAATGGGAAATTAGATGACCTTATTTTAAGTGTTTGGGGTAGTATGTGGGAAGAGATGGTACAGCTTAAGAGTAGTTGTTAACTGATGGCAGGCAAAAGAAATAGGAACAGTTCAGTTAATGCTTTAACTTTACTCTCTCCATTTAATAACCATATTAATATTCACATTTATATGGAAGTTTCTTCACTCCTTTGGAGATAGCATCTACATGCTTTAAGTATGGCTTTGGATGTAAAGAATCCAGTTACTTTGGATAGTGTTCATAAGGAAGCATTTGTTAACTGTATCATTCATTTGACACTGACCATATACTACATTGTATTTTTATTTATTTTGTCCCACCTTTTGCTTGTAAGCTTCTTAAAAGCAGAGATCACCACTTAACTCGATTTTGTCATTGCTTAGCATAGTGAACATGTGTATGTATGTAGTAGGGGCTTAGTAAATGTTCATTGATAATTCTAATTATTTGTTCCATAGAAATCTTGCAACCAGTACAACAAAGCAGTGTTTCTTTGGACTACTTTTTTCTGACTTAGAAACAGCTTAAAAGTTTTCAGTGCCTTTTAAAAGTTGCTGTTGAAGGCAGCAGATGCAGAAGCAGCAGCTGAGCAGGCACTAATGAGTGTAGTGCTCTGCTGATTGCTCTGAAGTAGATCCAAAAAGTACGGTCTCTGTCCCTTATTTCACTCTCAATGTATATGTAAAACAACTGGAGGATGAAATGGCACTATATAATCCACCTTTAGATGTGTAAGTTACAAAAAGAAATTTTATTTCTCAGTTCTTTTAAGTAACATGCTTGGCAGTTTTAAAAGCTTGATGTTGTACCTTGCTTTGGTACCATAATAGTAATAATGCTGTCAGTAGTAACTGAGATTTATATCATATCTTAAGGTTTGCAAAGCACTATATAAATTCTTTCATTTCATCCTGTAAATGAGCTGCTGACCCTTTCTTTGTAATAAGTTTCTCCCTCATGAGATGGAAGTAATAAATATTATGAAGACTTAATATTTTTTAGAAACTTGCCCTGTTTAAGTTCCTCAGAAATACGGTAGTGTGTAGTAATATCTTGGATTCTTGGGTATTTCTGACAAAGAAATGGAGCCAGTTTAATTATGAGTCTTATCCTTAGTTCCTCGTCTTGCTTGTCATGTTCTCTATGTACCTGAAGTATAGGAAGAAATGGGAAGGAGTTTGTGTTACTAGTGGGAAGAATCCTTATCCTATCAATGCTTAGTTCTGGAAATCATGCAGGATCAGCTCCAGTCAGTTATATACCTTCTTATTTGTTCAGATCCTTCCTAATCTCTCATGTTGGAATTCTTCTAGCAGGGTGGGTTTCTTGCCTCTTTAAGTTGCTCTACTGTCCAATTTTATTATAATTTTGTAATCACTGTTCAATCTAAAGTTACATTATATTCCAAATTGTTTTATTACAGAAATTATCTTATTGCACTGTCTTATCTCTTCTAACATTCTGGTTCTTAACTAACCTGTTGTCTTATTTTCTATTGATTTTTTTTTTCCCCTCTTCTTTTCAACTCCTATTTTGTATTTTCCCTGCTTAGTTCTTAGGTGCAGTCTTTGTAGGAATGAAAGTTGAGGCAGATAAGGGATTTTCATTATAGTAGCTCTTCATTCTCTTTACCTCTATAATTAAAGGCTTAATTTAATAAAGATATTTAGTAGTTTAATACTTTTGTGGGGAAAAAAAGCTAACAAAAAATAAAGGATTTCCCATATCCCTCATTTTTTTTCCCCAAATCTTTGTAGGGTGGTCCATTATGGAGCAAGCAATGCTTTTACTATGCCTGTTCAGATGAGTTTTTGGGGGAAAGAAGAAAATAGAAAAGCAGTTTTAGATCAGTTGAAGAAACATGGATTTAAGTTGGGGCCTCCACCAAAAAGTAAGTTCAAGACTTCATTACATTGATATATTAAATTTGTCAAGTTGTTAAGGATTGTAAGCCTATTTTGGGGGCAATAATTTTGTTTTGTCTCCCTGTTTTCTTGCTTTTTGAGTTCAATAAGGGTTTAGTATCTTTCTGCTGAAGCTTCAAAATTTGAACTTTTTCTTCTGTCTCTTTATAAAGATGACTGGGATTTAAACATGTGCTTTTATGAATATGAAGTATCGGCTTCAAGGAGTTATTGGAGGAGGGCTTTTTATTTGCTCAGAGGTTTGCTTTGAGTAATGTAAAATAGTCTTTGGTGGTTAGGATTAAACATTTTTTTGTCAGAAGATTTTTTAGACAAACATGTAAGTTTTAAAATGTTTTTATTTGTATATTTAAAGTTATTATCTTTGTATTTACTAACTTGGTTTGTTTTGTGGGACACAGGTTCAGGATTTAATTTTGGTAGTGCTTGGAATTCTGAAAGAGCTGGGCCAAGTTATAGTGTACCTATTCATGCAGCTGTGCAAATGACAACTGAACAGGTTTGCTTCTTTTTCTTTTGGGTTCTTTTGCCTTGAATTAGAGTCTATTCTCCTGTCATTAGCTTTGGTTGGCCTTGCCATATTTACCAATGTCCACCTCTTAACCATTCACACCATTACTTTCTGCTATTTGTGTTACTGGACTAGAATATAAATATTTTCTTAATATTAATTTCTACAAATGCATCACCTCAACTTAGAGCATAAGCATGTAGATCATGTGAGTAAGAGTCTTATATTGTTATCTGTTTAAATAACCTGCTATGATAATATTTTGGTGTCCAGTGTCCTTTGCATTGGCATGCCCTTTCCTCTTTTCTGCCCCTTCCCATCTAGTGAATGAATCAAAAACTTTAATTAAATGTTTATTATATACCAAGCACTGTTCTAAGTGCAGAAGTGAAATGTCTACCCTCAAGCAGCTAAAATTTTAGTAGTGAGGAGACATATATGAGAGTGGTATCCATTCAAGAATGTTTTGATCTGAGTAATCATATGGTTATTGAGTGGAGCCATGTGGGAGCTGATGGATAATGTCTTTTCCAGAAGCAGTGGTAATATTGATCTAATTTGGATTCCCAGAGCAAAAGGTTGGGGAAAGTGGAGGGGACAGTATATTGGGGGAAGAGAGCTAAGATACAGTGGCCTATGTACCTTTGCCTTCAATGGTAATTAGGATGGCTCAACCCCTAGGCAGGAATACAACTACTAATACACTTAAAGTATATGAAAGATAGAACAAAATTCTGGCAAGAGAATAAACTCTATCAAGGTAGCTACTCAGTGGGAGCTTCAAATTTGGAATTGGAAGGACTCTTAGAGATTCTCTAATCTCATTTTAACCAAGAAGGAAACTGAGACCCAGAGACAATAAATGATTAGCCCAAGTTTGTACATACTAAGAATCAGGTTTTTAATTCATGTCTCCTGACTTGCGCTTCTGTACCACATTGCCTTTGTTTTGAGAATGTATAACTCGAGAATCGCATTGATGTGTTGTTTTGAATAGCAAATTATTTATTTACGTCTTTTATAGAGAAACGGTAATAGAGTGGAATAAAATACCTGACTTGGAGTTTGGAAGATAGTTTAAATCCTGACTGATGCTTTTTTATCCCTATGAACATGGAAAAGTCACTTATCTCTCTTAGCCCCAGTTTACTCCTCCACCCAGGGTGAAATTTTCCTAGTGGAGGGAAGCTCCCAAACTGAGTAGCAATGAATCATGGGTCCTTAATGCAGACATTTTTCTCATAGAGCTAACTACTCTAAAGGCACCGACTCTTTTAATTTTTATTTTACTTTGAATTTCACTTTAATGATTTGCATTTCTGTGATTATGTATTGCAGCTCAAAACAGAATTTGATAAATTGTTTGAAGATTTAAAAGAAGATGATAAAACTCGTGAAATGGAACCAGCTGAGGTATTGAGTTTGTAGTACTTAACATTGAAAACTACTTGGTCTGTTTTAAGAGTGCCGTAAAGTTCTATGTCATTTTGGACGTTATTCACCTTTCAACCACTTTGTGTGGAAAAATAAAGAAAAGGTATATGCTATGTCTTACAGGACTTCTTTTACTTGTAGGCTATTGAAACACCATTACTTCCACACCAGAAACAAGCATTGGCTTGGATGGTTTCGCGTGAAAACAGCAAAGAACTACCTCCATTTTGGGAACAAAGAAATAACGCCTACTATAACACAATCACCAATTTTTCTGAAAAGGAGCCACCGGAGAATGTTCTTGGAGGAATATTAGCTGACGATATGGGTTTGGTAATTGTTTGGTTTTTTTTTTTCCTCCCTAGAATGTGGGCATTTGGGGGGCAAGTGAGAAGGGTTTGGGTGAGATAATAAAAGTGTAGTGTTGTTAATATAGGTTTTTAAAAAAAATAGGCTCATTAAATAGAAGTAGGTATATTGATCCAGATTTGAGGAACAGTTTTTACTTCATAGAAAAAAAAACTTTCCATGGTTTCACTACCATGTAAAATCTGTATTTTCCTTGATGCTTCAGGTTCCCTTAAAAGTAGAGAGAATGTGTAAAACATTTGAAAGAAAAGTCATTTTCAATTTACAAACAGTCCCATGTGCATACCCTACCTCCAGCATTGTGGTAGGTAATTTGCATGTTGTATACTTACATCTGTATTTCCTCATGCTGACTTTCTTATCCTTGTTTATGTTTCTATAGCCACAAAACAGTCGGGGGAAATATAAAAAAAAAAGTCACTGGACTTATTCTGCTCTGATTTACTTTTTAAAGTTCAACAAATTGTATCCTGCATATTTTTATCACAAATTATGTCATTTATGTCTTAATCTTTAATGACTCACATTGGGGAAACTATCTTCTCAACAACACTAAGCAAATAAGAACTTATAACAATAAATAACTTTTATTTTAATTAGAACTTGTTTCAAAGGTAACTGAGATGTGAGAGCTGAATATTAAAAATAAATTTTTTTGATATTTAAACTAGTTATATTTCAATACCCTTTTGGTACATAAGAGTTAAATAGTATGTTTCTGAGATGCTTGATATTATATAATAGAGCCATTTCTTCCTACATTTTTTTATAGGTGAGTCATTTTTTTAATGCCAGTCACGTTTTGCAGAACATCAGATTGTTGGGTCACAAATAATGCATACGTTGTATTTCATAGACACCATTGGTCCAGTATTCTTGTTCGTTGGCTATATGGTTCATGGATCATCCCAAAAAAATATTTATGAGCTATCTAGCAATGACTCAGAATCTGGCTAGATAGGTGACTTTATAAAGACTTTTTTTTCCCTTTAGGGCAAAACTCTTGCAGCCATTGCAGTGATCCTAACCAACTTCTATGATGGCAAGCCTCTTCCTGTTGAAAAAACTAATCAGTTGAAAGAGGTGGAGTATTTGAAAATCTTTTGTTCTATGAGATGTTGATGGAAAGCAGTCTGTACAACTCTTTAGCTTGACTGTTGGGAAGCAGTTACACTTCCAACTCTTTACACTAAAAGTCCAGCTTTGTAGGAGAAAAAAAATCCCTTTGTCTGTTTTTCGGAGGAATTCTTGTCCCTCTCAGTTCATGACAGAGCCCTAGTTCTCTGTCACCAGCTACTGTGTGTTGAGAACATGACTTGTAGTCATAAAAAACAGCCCATTACTATAAGTTTGTTTGGAAGTTAAAAAAAAACAAAAACAAAAAAACCCTGTTAATTCTGATTACTTTAATTTAGGAACCAATAGTATTATAGTTTACAGTAGTAGTCCCCTGTTTGAAGCTTCAGCCTAAGGGCCATTGGTGGAAGTTTCAAAGGGGCAGATTTAGTTTTGATGTGAGGGAAAACTTCCTCACAGCAAAGAATGTTCCAGATGTGGAACGGGCTGCCTTGGGAGGTAGAGTAGGGTTCTCTTCCCCAGGGGCCTTCAAAGAAAGGCAGGATTGCATATGTTGTAGAAGGGATTGTTTTTCATGTATGGCTTGAACTAAACGTCCTCTGAAGTCCCTTCAGGCTCTGGAAAGTTTGATCATTAAAGAAAGTCTTTTTATTTAGGAACATATTATTGATAAATCTGCAAAACAAGGAGAAAATGATGACAATGAACAAGTGAAGGAACTGTGTAAAGGTAAAATTTTAATCCAAAAGTGCATAGTTTAAATATTACCAATCTAATGGCTTAATTCAAGTGTCCATTGATACATAATTCTTTAAAATGAGGGTTAAGATCTGCGTTTCTTAAGGATGGTCTGATGTTTGTTTCTATTAATAGTAAATATTTTCTTGTTTTTAATCACTGCTTCATATGATATGTATCTTTTACTTTCAAATAGAAGAATTTACTACTGGTGAAGAGCCCAGTGTTTCAAATGTCAAGGAGGAAAGTAAAGATTTCAAGTCAGAATTTGCAAGTACCCGTCCCAAAAGGTAAAAATATGTACTGGGGTTTGCATATGACTTAAAGAACATAATCTTTTCTCTTGGAAATGACTTAATATCTTTTCTTAAATTTGCTGACATGGCATCTCCAGATTTTCTAAACTCACCTTGCTGTGTTGATGGAGAGAACTGGGAGGGGACAATTCTGCCCCCCCTAGAATGCCTACATAAATGAGATCATCAATCTCACCTAGCATAGTGACTTAGATGATTGTGGTTTTCTAGACTAGGAATAAAGGTGCCCCTGGCCAAACTCTCTGCTTTTTCACTTGCTAAGTGGTGGGAAAAATGGCTTATTAAATATTATAGAGCATAGCTAGATACCAACATTGAAAGGCATGTTTTGAACTTTGCTTTGTAAAATTATTTCCCATTAGTTATCAATTAAAAAGTATGAGGGTAAGATAAACCTACTTCCCTCATGGCAAATGTAACTTTCAGGAACAAAATTCATGAGTCACTTGCTATTCAAGTGTCTAGTAACCTTTTCATGTGTCTGATGTTTTTCGCAAAACTATTTATTTTTTAGAAGAAAAGCCACCGTTAAGTATACTGAAAGCAGTGACTCAGAAGAGGTGGAGTTAAATGAATTACCACATAAAATAAAAGGTAACCTGAAATACCATTTGATTTGCTATTTTGTCACATATGCTAATTGATTCTGACAATTTTTTGTATACTTTTACAGCCAGACCAAGACAGGAACAGCCTGTGACTAAAGGCAGAATTAAAAGTATGTATCCTCTGTGTATTTTTTTGTTTACCTGGTAGCTGAAAGAATAGTACAGTAAATTTTACTTATTTTTTTTATCACTGACTTGCAATCTATGATAATTGCACATGGACTTAGCTCAAGTTTGCTCTTGTTGAGATTTATTGAATTAATGACTCACAAATTATAATAGTTATAATAATTCTTAGATTTTTCTTAAGTTAATTAAGAAGGCAGCATGGCAGCTTTTGAGACATTTTTAGAAAGAAAAGAAGACTTCATCATTGAGTGTATAGAGAGTGACCCTGGACAAGTCATTTAAGTCTTTTTGGGAGGGAGGGGAGAGCTTTTTGGTGAGGCAGTCGGGGTTAGGTGACTTGCCCAGGATCACACAGCTAGTGAGTGTCAAGTGTCTGAGGCCAGATTTGAACTCAAGTCCTCTTGACTCCGAGGCTGGAGCTCTACCCACTGAGCCACCTAGTAGCTGCCCTTAAGATTCTTTCTTAGGCAACTCTCAGATGGGTTCTTAGGATGGATTCCACAGATCCTAGGGGATCTGTAAACTTGGGTGGGGGAAATGGCATCTTTTTGTCAATATACTTGGTTTCTGTTGCAATCCTGTATATTTTGTGCGTTTAGAACATTCTGAGGATTCGTAGGCTTCATCAGATCACCAAAGGAGTTCACAACAAAAAAGACTTAAGACAATAACTTGCAGAGTAGGAGCAAATCTGAATTGTTTGAGACAATTTCCTCTTTGGTCATTCCCTGTACTGTACAATGAAGTTACAGGTACAATCTTAGGGAAATCTAGCCAACTTCCTCGTTCTATGTAGAAGGAAATTATAGCTGGGAAAGTCACTTGCCCAGAGCCATTCAGTAGATCTAGAACTAGAATTCAAGTCTTCTTACTCAGCCAGCCTGTTTGTCTTTTTACCAACCAGCCTGTTCAATCATTTCAGTCGTGTCTGCCTCTTTGTGACCCTTTTTGGGGGTTTTCCTAGCAAAGAGGCCAGAGTCGTTTGCCATTTCCTTCTCTAGCTCATTTTACAGATGAGGAACTGAGGTAAACAGTGTTAAGTGATTTGCCCAGAGCATCTGATGCCACATTTGAACTCAGGAAGATGTCTTTCTGACTCCAGGCCTGGACCACCTACCTGTGCCTTTGAAAACTTAGTTAATTCATATTATTGTATACTATAAAAGCAAACACTTAAAATTTAAATATCAAAATTTTGCTTTTTTTTAGTTTAAATATTGCCATCACCATTCCAAGTTAGTGAAGTTTTACTGTGTGAAGAAATGAAATTGCTGTTACCAGACTGTTAACGACTGATCCAAAAATTGAGTAGGCTTCTCTAAGGACGATCTACATATCTGCATGGCAGCAGAATTCTCTATTTCTGGTTCTGTGACATGGATGACCATATTGTAGATGACTTACTATGGAGTAGTAGGCCAGCCTTGGTTAACAGAGTCTAGGAAAGAATGTAGTAATGACTTCATGTTATGTGTGTTCCCTACTGCAAAAGTTAGTATTACTTAATGGTACCATCTCCTTTTTTCTTCAGGATTTTCTAAGGCCAAAGAAGATGCAGACTTTGCATGTGCACTTGAGTCATCTGCCCCTCTGGTAAAAAAGAAAGCCATGAAAAAAGGTCAGCAGTGTTCCTGATATTTCAATTTCTATTTTAGTTCAGTCAAGAAATGATAATAACATGAAGAATTTTTTTTATGTATTATAGATAATTACAAATTAAATATGTATATATCTTTGTAGCAGAAATTACAGTATTCTATAGCTCTGTAATTGAGTTGAGAGAAATAGATTTGCCTTTTTCAATGTTAAGCCAGATTGAAGAACTATAAATAGTTGTCAAAGACCATGAAGACATTTTGAATATAATTTTGTTGATTTTAGTGAAAGAATGAATGAAATTTTTAGTATAATTTTTAGTTTGAAATCATCCTTTGGTGAAATTACAAAATCATAAGTGAGTACAGTTTTGATTTAATTGGTTCCCTTACTTTGACTTAAAGTCTATTATATGTATTACCTTGGGAAAATAATTTATACTTCTGTTTGCTGATTTATGAAATCAGGAGGTTGGTCTAGATGCCCCCTCACTTCCAACCTTTCAATTTGTCCTCCTAGGTTCCTGTACTTATATTGCTACGTCTTCTGGCATCTATGTCCTATTAGCCAGGTTAAGCTAACAGTAAGTTGTAAGGACATTAAGTGTCAGATGAATTTTAAAAACCACTAGGTTGAGAATAAGGTAAACGTGTATGAATTTGCTCGTTATGACAACCAGATGCTTGGATCAGTGTCTTTGCTAAGCAAGGGCTTAAACATTTCATTAAACTTTATTTACAACTACGCTGCAACAGACTGACTACATAACTTGGTGAAGTGGTCTGGAAAAAATAAAAATGCCAAAAAGATTTAAAAAACCGAGTTACTTGCACCCTTCAAATTATTTAGATAGTTTGAGGCTGCTTTAGTAGATGCTAGAAATTGTAGGAGGATGCAAAATGAGTCAATCATTGCTAAGAATTTTAGAGAATCTGGTTTTCCTTGTTACTATTGTTGTTCTGGAATATGAGCATAATATGGCATGGATATTTTGTGTTGATGTTTTGTTATGAAATTATTATTTTAAAAGTCTGGATCCTTTTTTTTTTTTTTTTGCCAGTAGGTCACCTATTGAATTTTGTAATATGTAACAGATGTAAAATAGGAACTGATTTTTTGGCAAACTTAGCTTGGTTGAATATCCTGCAAAGCAATGGGTGCAGTAGAATTTCATTTTAGTATTTTATGCTATCCTCTTTTACATACTATTGCCAGCTGGAATGCCTGGTTCCCCTAGTGCCAACCTTAGTGACTTGCACATAACATTTGTAAGTATATTAGATAATTCATGATATGAATCAGGCATCAGCTGGGACTTAAATCATGTGGCTTGGAATTCTCAGTGTGTTGGTATTGGTCATAAGGATAAAAAGTAACACAAGGAATGTGAGGGGGTATTTTGCATTAAATGATTCAGCAAGGGTAAACTACTTTATGAATTTCGAGTGATTTTAACATAACTAAAGTACATGAAGGGCTGTGTTCCTATTGATGGTAAGTTATTCTTTCAGGAGCTACCATAGTACAGTGCTCTAAGAAAATTGACACTGAAGAGAAACCAAGAGCAACGTTGATCATCTGTCCTCTTTCTGTTTTAAGCAATTGGATTGTAAGTTTTATTACTACATCTTAAAATTCTGTAATATGTAATTAACTTGTAAGTCATCTTAGTCTTATGGTTGGAAATATGCTGATTATGATTTGGAAGGATAGTGCCAATTTTGTTTTGTTTTACCTGTAATTAGCAGTTTTGCTAAAATGAACACAACCTTTATTCTGAGCCAGAAAATAAAAAAGGAAAGAAACCTACTAAACTATTCACTTCGAAGCCTGGGAAAGAAGTATTTCACAGAAGCCAAAGTAAAACAGTAAAGGAAGCATTATCTCTGGGATGTTATAGACATTTACCAGTTCTGTGACCCTGGGCATCCCTTAATTTTTGCCTCATTTTCCTCATTTGAAAAATGGGGATAATAGCACCTACCTCCCTGGGTTGTCATGAGGATCAAGTAAGATGATAATTATAAAGCTTGGCATAGTGCCTAGCGCATATTAAGTGCTATATAAAAGCTAATTCTTATTATCATCATAGCGAAACTAAGGAGAATAAGGATTGAGAAAAGGCCTTCGGATTTTCTGGAATGTGGTCAAGAAAACATTAGTAGAGAGTAGGACAGAAAGAACCCAAGATAGAGGTAATTAAATATAGGCACTGATATTTTTAGACCTCACTAATTTTTTCCCTCTTTTTATTTGTAGTTGAGGAATGGTCAATTAAGAATGATGCTTGGCACAGGTGTTTTGAGGCAGAGCTTTTTAAACAACTGAGGCTATCCTGGTATAGGCAGTAGTTCACTCTTCATTTCCCTTGTGTTTTCTCTGTTTATAGCTTCTTAAACTTTGATACTAATTTGTTACTGAATTTTGTTGTTTTAAAAACTACTTACTGTCTTTTGTATTTCAGGGGTTTTTTTTTGTTTGTTTGTTTTGGTTTTTTTTTGGCGAAGCATTTGGGATTAAGTGACTTGCCCCGGGTCACACAGCTGGTCATGTCAAATGTCTGAGGCCAGATTTGCACTCAAGTCCTCCTGACTCCAGGGCTCTTTCCACTATGCCACCTAGCTGCCCCTTCAGTGTATTCTTTATCCCTCTTTTAAAATAGGAAATTGTATGAAAATTTTTACTACTGTCATTTTATTTTATTCCTACCTGTTATAATTAGTAATCAGTAGATAAAAGCCAAAATGGTTTTTTTCTTTATCCCCTTTCTCTCTTGACCTTTGCCGAGCTTAACTCTTTTCATAAGTGCTTGAGGGAGACAGATGTTCTCATGCGTAGTGCTTTAGAGGGGGATAGTGGAGGCTGGGCAGAGGCTGAGAGTTAGTGGTGTGGCTGGACTCCCTTTTTTCCCTCTTTTTGCAAATGTGCATGTGTAGAAGTCCATTTGTGGTACTGCTGTCTTCTGTTGTAGCCTAATACAAGAATGAACCTTTTAAAAAAAGTGATACTGGCAAGAAAAGAGCAGGCTATTCTGTTTTTACTTTTGTAGTTGGGTTGATGAGTTGTTCCTAAAAAGTTTGTGGCAATTTTATTTCTATTTCAGTTTCAAAAAATACGTCTCCAATAAAAGATCAAAGGATAAGAACAATTTTAAGGGGAATTGTAACTCTAAATGACCACATGAAAATATACTTCATGTTACAATAGTGAGAAATGGGAATTTCAAGTACCCATTCGGTTTTTACCTCACCTCATAAACTGACAAAGATGACAAATATTGGCAATGATACATGTTAGAATGTGAGCATACTCTATATACAGTTTTGGTGGAGCTGTAAAGGGGCTTCAGTCAACTTTTCAGAATTTCAGTTTTGAATTTTCCAGGAAAACATTTTCTCTTGAATTCCTCCACTGGTGCCCAGGAAGTCACAGCTCAAAACAATGCAAGAATATACCAAAATAAATGTAACATACTCTTTATGATAGAGACCTAGAAGCATGTACCTTTCAAAACTATATAATTGTTTTTTAAATTGTGTCTTTGAATTCCGGACTAGCCTGTGAAATTTACTTATCTGCCCTGTATTTACTACTTCAAGATCTTTTGCCCTACCCCCAAAATTGTAGTACATAAATATAATGGAATATTATGCATTAAGAAATGAGGAATTGAGAGAAGAAACAGGAAATTTGTATAAACTGATTTTGAGTGAAATAAGTAGAACTAAAAGAATAATATACACAGATTACAACCATGTAACTGAAAAGATTATCTGAGTAATTTAAAGGCCAGTGAAGGTACTGGAGAGCAGATAAACATAATTCTTCCTTCCCCATGACAATGACAGAGCACTTAATTTTTTATCTTTACCGCAAGAGAGATTTCTGCCTTCAGGGAAAGGTTTAAAATGACTGTTGCAATGTTAAAAGATGTTAAAAATTTTTTTAAAAGATACATCATTTCTTCACTGTTAATTTTTTCACATATAATGCGTATTAAATTAGTAAGATTAGTATTATGCTTATTGATTAAAACCATTTTTTCTTTTAGGACCAGTTTGGACAGCATATAAAATCAGATGTGCACTTGAATTTGTATGTTTACTATGGCCCTGATCGCAGCAAAGACCCTGCCTTGCTTTCAAAACAGGATATTGTTTTGACTACATATAATATTTTAACTTATGATTATGGAGTAAGTATGCTTGAAATTGTTCTATTTAGGATTAGAGATTTTAATAGTCATTTATTCCACTTATTTGTCATATTAGGAAATGTTTATGATAGCAGTATAATAAAGAGGTTATCTGGCACAGTTTTTTTTTTTTAAATGAACTTAATACTTTGATAATGCAATTTCCTAATGCTTCTAGAAAACTGTCTACCTATCACAAGGACAGATTTACAATTTTATATTTTAAAACATTATAATAGCAAAATTGAAATTCTGTCAAGAATTATACTGCTTGGCTTAAAATAGGGTGATTTTGCTATGCGCAGTAATTTCATTGACATCTTCAGTATAATATCTTAGTATTTTGCTGTAGGTTTTTCCTTCCCACATTTTCAGTGAGTTTATATCAATAGTTGATGTGAGCTGTTTCTATTTATTTCAGAGCAGAGGGGACAGTCCATTACACAAAATAAGGTGGCTGAGAGTCATTCTGGATGAAGGCCATACCATACGGAATCCAAATGCTCAACAAACAAAGGCTGCATTAGATCTGGAGGCTGAAAGACGATGGGTGCTGACAGGTAATCTGCGTTACCTATCGAAGTTCAGTTTAGTCACTTTTAAAAATGTATTTGCAAATAAGTTAGTGGGAAATTGTAGGAAGTTTCAGCCCTATGTAGGAAATGCTTCCTGTGGCAGTTGTTTCCTGAAAAGCTTTGGCATATGTTCCTAGAAGTCTCATGTCAAGTAATGTGCATGCATATCACAATTCAAAATTACAGAATCAAAAACAGAATTTTTCTTAAAAGTGTAGGGCTCGGTACTTAGTCTTTTGTTGTTTATTTTGGTCCATTTTACTGCTGATTAAAAGATTGAAGAGAGAATAAAAGACAATACAATTAAAATGTTCTGTTTGCTAGTCTAATTACAGTACTTTTGATGTGGAACCATGTTGAACTTCAAGTAAGGATTTTATTATTTGTGCCTGCTCTGTTCTATAGTGATAAGTTAAAAATTGAGAGATACCCAAAGTGTAAGAAGTATAGTGGTTCTCTTTTAGGTTCTATAGATGCTCATGAAGTTGCTGCAGTAGCTTTAAAATATATTTAAGTTCCAGTTTATTGAAGAAATTCTAATTTTTTTAGGTACTCCAATCCAGAATTCATTAAAGGATTTGTGGTCACTGCTTTCCTTTTTAAAACTGAAGCCATTTACTGATAGAGAATGGTGGCATCGAACAATCCAGCGTCCTGTCACGATGGGAGACGAGGGGGGACTTCGGTATGCTGTGTCTGTGTGATTATTGAGCCAGGGACTAACAGTCGTTCTTTTGGGGGTGTTTGACTGTGCCTTTTCTCCCACCCCTACTGATCACTAACCATCTTTGCGTTCACCTCTGCTCATTTCCAACCTTTTCTAGGGGCATTTAGTTTGTTGACAGACCTGTAATAGGGTTTTGCAAGGTCTCCACAATGGCTTCATGTATTAACACAGCCAAGGGGTTTGGACTGTTGTCACACCACCCCAAATGCCGTCTGAAGACATTTGATTGATTGCCTGCTTCTAGGGCAGGGCCTTCTGGCACATCATCCCATTCACTCATGTGCAGTCATTTATACACATGGAAGAGGAGTTGGATCATTGGATCAAAGAGGGCTGAAGGGGAGTAGAGGAACTGTCTGTTCAGCTCCTTCATTTTACAGAGAAGGACACTGGCCTGGACAAGTTAAATGACTTGCCTAAGACTAGTTCTATGTGGACTTAGCAGAACTGGGTGGAAGTTGAAGAGGCAGATTTAGGGGTAATTTAAGGACAGATTATAATTATATTTATATATTGTATATGTTTATGTACTTATAATTCCCTCTTTAGCTACCTTTGATAGGTAGAGAAGGTCCAGTTACTGAAGGTCTTTAAGCAGACACTAAGTGACTACTTGAAGAGAGGAAAAGAAAGGGTCACAACAGGGAGAAAGGATAAGAAGAAAAAAAGTGGTAAAAAAGAAAAAAGTGTAAGTGAAATAAGAAAAGAGAATAGATTGCCAGTTGTTGTCATTAGACATTTTATTGTTTTTTTGTTTTGTTTTTTTGCAGACATTTTATTGAATAGGCACAGTATGCTAGCATTAAGTATCATCTCTGTTCACAAGAATTCATGGTCTAGTTTTGGGGGTAAAATATATATCTATATGCACATAACAATACAAATAGCATTTGTCAAAGGAGTGGTATAAAAATAACTGTTACATTATTTTAGAGGCACAAATCAAATAGAATGTGTTGAAAATGATGGGCATTCTCTTATAATCAAGCTACGTACAAAAGTAAGATATGTATTTAGGATGGTGCTCATGTCATAGGGAGGCAATGAGGACAGGAGAGAAAAAAAGCCAGAATAAAATAGAATTTAAGAAAAAAGAGTAGTAATAGAAAAATAGGAAAGGAGTTGAAAACAAAAAACACCTAAATGATCAAGCCTAGAGAATAAGATAAGTTGGTTTTTTAAGAATTTACCAGATGTCTAGGTTCATAAGACCTTCAGTGACTTTTAAGTTGGTTAAAATTTCAAATAGAAATAAACTAAGTATATAAATTTCCACTAAACTGCAGTGTATATTTTTGTCTTTATTATGAAGTTGTGTATCTGAAAGCAGTGAGTTGTACGTGCAATTCTTTTTATCTTTCCTAGGCGTTTACAATCCCTAATTAAAAATATTACCCTCAGAAGGACAAAAACAAGCAAAATTAAAGGCAAACCTGTCTTGGAGTTACCAGAGCGTAAGGTATTTATTCAGCACATCACACTTACTGACGAAGAGAGACAGATTTACCAGTCTGTAAAGAATGAAGGCAGAGCTGCAATTGGCAGGTATGGAAAACCATACTCAAAGAACACTAATTTTTTTTTTCTTCAAGGTTTTATAAAATCTGGGCATGGTAATATTAAAGGACTAAAATGATGACAGTGATTTTCATTTTTATAATTGAAATATACTATGAACCACAACATCTAGTAGTTAGGTGATCCAGTGGTTAGAGTACTGTCCTGGAGTCAGGAAGACCTGAGCTCACATCCAGCTCAGATACTTACTGTGTAGCACTGGGCAAATCACTTAATCTCTGACTCTCACTTTCCTCACCTGAAAATGAAGATAATAGCCAAACAACATTGCTCAGCATCGGGTTTGGCACATAGTAGGTATTTATTTTTTTCCTGCCTTGATCTAATTTGAGCATTTCTGCTCAACATTGGAGTTGGGATAGTGACTAGATCTGTGATTTCAGGAGTGTAGAAAGCTCCTTTGGAGATACTCTGTACCTTTGCTTCTTTGCACTGAACACCCATCCAATAGCCAATATGTGTCATTGGTGGGACTTGAACTCAAATCTTCCTGTTTCAGAGAGCATATTCTATACACTGTCCAAGTAGCTTCTCCTCTCACTTAGAGATCATCTAATTGCTTGAAGGTTTTTCTGACCTCAAGCCTAGATTGGCTTCTTTGCATTTTCCATCTGACAAAGAAAGCATCATGAGCTGTAAAAGCTGACTCCTGAGAGGTCACAGCCTACCTGGCCAAGAGGCCTGGCCTCCTCAGCAGTGCTCAGCTCATGGGCACTAAAGCAACCCTTGAAAATGGGAATGCCTTTGGTGCTTGAGAAAGATGGCGAGATCACCAGGATAGTCTAGTGGGCAGGCAGGAATAACGGGCTAGGATTTGAAGGAGGCAAGTGCCAAGTAAAATGATGAGGCTGGTGCTTTGGAAATCTCTTGAGATTTCCTCCAGAATGGACTCTGTGATGCTGTGACATGTAAAAGTGAGATGATGATGATGATGATGATGATGATGATGATGATGATGATGATAAGAGGAAGGAAGAGGAAACAGAAGGCATCTGAGTAAAATGGGTTCTGAAAGTTGTAGATCTTCTGTGAAGTAAACCTAGTGGAAAGAATGTGGGCTTTAGGACCTGGACGTCAGTTCTAACTCTGCCACTGATTAACTGTGGGGCTTTGGGCAGGTCACTACCTGTCTTAAAGTGCACTTAGTTCTCATTTGTAAAAGTGAGATTGAGGTCTCTTTGAGCTCTACCTTTATGCTTATGAGCCTATGAGATAACGAGGCCAAAGTGACAATAAATGACTGAGGCATAGTGGAATTGGAGGGATCTTGTATGGTTGAGGAAGTGTGTGTGTGTGTGTGTGTGTGTGTGTGTGTGTGTGTGCGCGCGCGCGCGCGCGCCCACATTTAGGCCCTGTATGCAGAGTTTGTGTGTCATTCAACCTGCAGTGGCTTCATAACGTGTTGTGTTTTGGCTTTCTAATAATCTTTAGGTATTTTAATGAAGGCACTGTGCTTGCACACTATGCTGATGTCTTGGGCCTTTTGCTCAGATTGAGACAATTATGTTGTCATCCTCATCTCTTTACAAATACAGCATCTTCCAGCAGTCCCTCAGGTTAGTAAATTTGATTGGCTTTACACCATTGTAGTTCTTCAGAATCAGAATTCTTTAGGTGACCATTTCATTTTCCTTATGAAATACTGGTTATGATCATATTTTGTTTCATTTTTCTTGAATGCACAATAGACCAGAGTATATAATTTAAATATGGTAACACATTGGAGCTAAGTAATGTATTTGAAAATTTTTTGCAGAGGCATATTGTAGATGAAATGGTATTACTAATGAAGTTTTTCTGTTTTTGCTTAGAAGATCCTCCTCAGGGTTCAGTATTTGGCAGTGTTGTTTAAGTTGAAGAAATACTTACTGGCTTTGGACTCAGGCTTTGGTTTCAAGTCTTTATCTCTTACCTGTAGCCCCTAGTGACCATGAGCAAGTCATTTGACCTTATTGGGTCTCAGTTTTTTCCCCACCTACAAAATAAGGGGGTTGCAGTAGATGGCTTCTGTGATTCCCTTCTTGCTCTAGTACATAGGATTTGCCTTTCTCTGAATTTTTCTGTAGAGTAGGTTGTGCACAGAGAGAGGTTCCTGTGTGCAGTATATTTTATTTGTACATTACCTAGTTTTGGGAGTGCTGTTTAGTGTTGTTACATTATCTGATTTAAATAATAGACCCAATCTGTGAAGTAAGATAAAGTGTACTCTATTAGTGGAAATTAACTTTTTCAGTCATCAGGAGTAGCTATGTGTAATTAATTTGTTTTCTATACCCAACTGTGATAGGAGATGATACACCTGAAGAACTACGAAAGAAGTTGATTAGCAAGATGAAGTTAATTCTGAGCTCTGGCTCAGATGAAGAGTGTGCAATTTGCTTGGATTCTCTAAATATTCCTGTGATAACACACTGTGCACATGTATTTTGTAAACCATGCATTTGTCAAGTAATTCAGAATGAGCAGGTTAGTTTTTGCTTCTTTCCTACTGAATTAACCAGGTGATAATTTGTCAAAATTTCATGTAAATCGTTTTCCTAGAGAATGAAACAATATAATTTAAATATGAACCGTTCATACTTTATCATTCTAGCAAAATTCAGTTTAATTCAATTAAGCAAATATTTATTAAACACTTTGTGCAGAGTATTGTACTAGAATTGGGGCATAAAATGTTTTGATAATCTCTGTTCTCATGGAGCTTATATTTGGTAGGGAAAAGAAAATAAATGTTTTAAAGAGGTGAAAAATGGTAGGACGTGAGTTCCAAGAGGATGATGGGCTAAAGATGGTTAGGGAATCCTTTATGCAGAGCTGACACTTGAGGTGGGCTTCAAAAGACTGCACAGGAATTGAGCAGATGAAGGAGCCTGAAGCAAAGGTGTGGAGACAGGAAAGGGCAGATTTACATGAGGAATAGAGGGTATTTTTACATCACTATAGTTTAACCCTTTTCCTCTCCCTCCCCAAGAGTAACAAATTATATTTTTTATGACCAAGCAGAAAGAGGGGAAAAATCAGCATAACTGGTGAATACATCAAAGGCTGAAATACGTACATTGAGCACCATTTGTGGTCCACCTCTGCCATTAAAGGAGTAGTGTTGGGAGTGTCTTCTCACATCTCAAATTTTGTACCAATGCTGTTTTTTAGAATTTTACAACATTCAGTTTTGACTTTTTTTGTATTTGGAGATTCTGTCTGTTTACGTTGTTTTGTTCATGTATATTCTTGATTTTATTACTTCACTCTGTACCAGATCATGTCGGTATTTCATAATTTTTTATATTCATCACAGTCATCATTACTTACAGCACAGTCATGTTGCATTATATTCAATTTGCCCTAGCCACTTTCCAGTCAAGGAGTATCTAATTTGTTGCTAATTGTTTTATAACAACCTCTTAGGTGGTTTCCTGGCTTCAAGTCTGTCCGTTGTCCAGTTCAGATACAGCTACCTATCATGGTGCCAAAATGATGTTCCTAAAGAACAGGAATGACCTTTCCTGTAAGGTCCAAAGTGAACTTTTCTGTTTGTTTTAAAGCTCTTCAGAGTCTGATTTAAACTACTTCCTTTCCAGTTTTATTGTATATTACCACGCCCCATTTTCTTCCCCCTCCCCAGGTTTTCATGATCTAGCCAAACCTGCCTTCTGCAGCCTTCATTTCCAGGCTGAACCTTTGCATACATAGCTCGTCCCCCATACTGCAGTGTGCCTCCTTCCTCATTTACCTGTTAGAATTCCTAGTTCCATTCAAAGCGTAGCTCAAGAGCTACCTTAGATATGAATCCTTTCCTGATGCCCCATATCATCCTTTGGTTCTTGTATATGTGTTGTATTATTTGCATGTGTGTTGGGTTTTTTTTTTTGTTTTCTTGTTTTTTGTTTTTTTGCTTTTTGGTAAGGCAGGGTTAAGTGACTTGCCCAGGGTCACACAGCTAGTAAATGTCTGAGGCCGGATTTGAACTCGGGTCCGCCTGACTCCAAGGCCAGAGCTCTATTCACTGCGCCAACTAACTGCCCAGTGTGGTTTTTTTAAATAGAAATAGGCTCCTTGTGGACAAGGATGAGTTCCTTTGTGTTCCCAGCACCTTGTACCTAGTTGACACCTAATACATTTGTTTAATCCAAGTAGGGATATCTTACAGTCACAAGTACAGGTCTGGTATTCACAACAGCTGACATTTATGTAGAGTTTTTTTGTTTGCAAAGTATTGTTTATCTTCAAAAGCAGTACTGGAGTGGGTACTATAACTATTACCTGTATTTTATTTAATTTATTTATTCTTTTAGTTATTTTAATATTTTTCTTTCAACTTAATTACCTGTATTTTAGCTGAAGAAACTGAGGCTTAGCCTTGCGCACAGGATCATCCAGTTAGTAATGCAGGAAGTGGAATTTGAGCACTGTTTTCTTGGGACTCCCAAGTCTGTCATTCTTCCCATTGCACTGAACTGCCTCTGTACACAGATGTGAAAGGTGACAGTGGAAGCCAGGGAAGTGAAATCGTTGTGAAGAGGTGGAGCAAAGCTAGGAGAACCATGAGAATGTGGCATCTGTGAGGGCAGCAGAAGGGATCCAGAAAGAAGAGTTGTGTCAAATGCAGCAGTATGGCTGAGGACTACTGAGAAGGGGAGGGAAATCAGGCTGCAGAGCAAAGAAGGATAATGGAAATGGAAATATTTTCAAAAAATTCTGGTCTTATCACTTAACCAAAGTTCTTACTTTTCAGTGGCATTGATCTCTATTCAGTATTCTGTTCTAAAAGTAAAAGTGTCTTATTAGAAAAATGATGGTTAGTAATGTCCTTACATCCAGATTCTTTTATTTTGCTAAAAATTTTCTATGTAAGATACTTTAAATAAGTGGTTCTTTTAACTGGACCTATGGATACAACCAGCTTTAATCTTGTAGCTTAAAATAAAATTTTGCTCATTCTTAGGTAGGTCTTAGTAATTAAGCAAACAGCACTTCCACTTGAATGAAAAAGTTTGTAAGATTTAACAGACCTCAGTCAGTTTTTTTACTTGACAAAATTGTTTTGACTGAGTAGCTCTAATAAACATGTACCTTTCAAAACTATATAATTGTTTTTTGAAATTGAGTGTTTGAATTCCGGACTAGCCTGTGAAATTTACTTATCTGCCCTGTGTTTACTACTTCAAAATCTTTTGCCCTACCCCCAAACTAATACAATACCTTTATCTTCATATTAATACTAAATATTCACTTCTCAGATAAATAGCCTCGAGGGCCTAACAAAAAGAGGGGAGGAGGGATGGTATTAAAATACCTTCATCTTTTAGGAATGTTCAGAGCTCTAATGTTTTGTTTTACAGCCAAATGCAAAATGCCCTTTATGCAGAAATGACTTACGAGCAGAAAATTTGGTAGAGTGTCCTCCCGAAGAATTGAACTGTAGTGCTGAGAAAAAGACTGATCTGGAATGGATGTCCAGTTCAAAGGTAATTTTCAAAAACTTTGATAAATGTATTACACATACAAAAACATTTGTATTTGATTCATTTGCACTTGAACTAGGAGATTAGTACAGTTTTATCCTGTCATTCAAATGCTTCTAATAAGTAGTAAGGGGGGTGGGGGTGGGTGAGTTTTTGTTGGTTTTTGGTGGACAAAGACATAATTTATTATACTTAGATTTCAAGTATTAGTTTCTAAGAAATAAAACAGTGAAGAAAGGGTAATTATTCTGTTTCAGTTTTCATACTTACTGATGATTTTTTATTGAAAGAGAAAGTGTGATATTAATGAAATATTAGACATTTGGAGAGTTTTTGAAATTAGAATAAATACCAAAGATCTTTGCTTTCCATTTGTAACTAAAGCACTGAACTTTCAGAGTAATTTTAACAGCATAATTTTTACCAGTTCAAAGTGGAATTTGATGGGTTACATACAATTTTGTTTTTTCAGATCAATGCTCTAATGCATGCTTTGATTGACTTAAGAAAGAAGAACCCCCAAATCAAAAGTTTAGTTGTTTCACAATTCACAACTTTCCTGTCTTTATTAGAAACACCACTTAAGTAAGTTGAACAGTGTTTATCACTTCTAGTAAAAAGATTTTAAGTGTTTTGCTGTATGAAATTTGTATCAGAAAGACAGTATTATGTACCCATTTTATATATTTTCTTTCCATATAACTTTTGTACAAGTTATAATTAGAAACTTTTTGTAACAACATAAAGTACTGTTTTAAATCCTGAACTTATCAGAAAAGCCATATGTGCAAATAATTACTTGACTGTTGTTAATAACAGTCCAGTAAATGTTTTTCTTATTTTGTTAAAGAGCATCTGGGTTTGTGTTTACTCGTTTGGATGGCTCCATGGCCCAGAAGAAGAGAGTTGAATCAATTCAGTGTTTCCAGAATACTGAAGCAGGATCTCCCACAATAATGCTTCTTTCTCTAAAAGCTGGTGGAGTTGGTTTGAATCTCTGTGCAGCCTCTCGAGTATTTTTAATGGATCCAGTAAGTAATCTTAGAGATCTACATGACAGGGACATTTTTTAAACAAAATTATAGAGGAAGCACCAAATATTTTTATTGAGAAGGTAGTGATCAAACCTTTCAATTGTAGAATGACTCTTCATTTACTTAGTTTGTCTAATTGCAAAATACCACAGGGGCCTCAGGTATTAAGAGACTGGCTGCATTCTCAGCACTTAAATGGTACCTTAACCATAACAGGTGCTTAATAAACATTGAATGTAATAAATGCATGTTGACTGTTTGATGGATTAGGAAACAGGCAGTTAGATGACTCACTAAACGTTATGAATTGGCCGGGCCAGTTAAGTCAAATAACTTTTCAAGAGCCTTCTAAGGGACTGTTTAATTAAAAGTAACCAGTGGAAACAAAGTAACACTACCATAAAAACTGATTGAGGAAATTCAAAGGTAAGGAGGGGTTTTACAGGAGTTTCATCATTTATAGAAAGAATAGTTGAGTGAAATAGAATTTCTTAGATGGAATTTTTAAAAACTAAGCTAACTCTTTAAACATCCCCAACCTTATTTTGTTCTAATAGTACCATAGATTTCAAGCTAGAACTGACTCTAGAGGTCATTTAATTCACCCCACCCCACCCGTTATAGGAAGGAACCTGATACCTAGAGAGGTTGTACCTTGCTTGGGTTTGCACTGGGGTAATATGTGGCAGAATGGTATTTTTGAGCTCATGACTCCAAAACTAGTGCCCCTTCCACAGTAATAGTAAAAGCATCTGACCTTTATATAGCACTTGAACACTTTGCAAAGTATGTTATACAGATTATCTCAGTAGAGCTACTTAGGATAAACCCATGAAGTATTACTTATTGTCCATCTCTTGCAAATGAGGAAACTCTGGTTGAGAGAGGTGAAGTGATTTGCACAGGTTGCACAAGCTGGCAGCCAGTGTCCGAGGCAAAGATTACGCATAGAGCTTGATCCCCCCTACACCTGCTGCCTCCCTGAGATCCATTTTATCTCTGAGAACCAGAACTCTTAAAATTCCCCTGACCGCAGTACATCCTTCTTCCTCTTAATCTCATCTTCATCCTCATTTCTAGTTTTCTAACCTTACTCCTTTCTCCGGGTCCCGTGGTTTCCCTCGTGGTTTCCCTCGTGTTTTCCCTCGTGTTTTAAATGGCAACAATAAGAAATCTTATAGGTTTAGAGGTCATGATAGGGATGTTAAAAACAATAACAACAATATGGCCACCTGTTAAAGGGTGCTCAAGTAACACACCTACCTTGGCTTATGGCTTCTCAACCCTGAGTCACCAACCCTTTACTTTGCTCTTGAGTATTGAGCAGTGCCAGAGGACAGTTAACAATGACTTTCTGCTCTGGTTGCTACTCTGTATGTACTATGTGTTAATGTAGGTTTAAAATAATTTAGTTAGGCACATATTTTAGTGGAAAATAGAGAACAGTTGTCAGAATGGCAAAATTATGTAAGGAAAACCATGTTTGGCAGTTAACTTTTGGTAAAAAGTCACAAAATTGTTTTGATTTCTTTTAATTGTCTAGTCTCCTAAAATACGCTACTCACCTTTTAAAGTTCTTTTCAATTCTTAATGAACATGGGGTTAGAAACAGATGGTTTACTGAGAAATGCTCAACATAGGAAGTTAAATGTGTTAGAAGCCCATCAGATAAAAATGAGACATCAATTTTGTGAAATATCTAGACAAAGATAGCAAGAATTTGCAGCCACCAAAATAGAACCAAATTAAAATGTAATTGGCAAATGTTTAACAAAATAAATAAAAACACAGTGCAGCATAGATAATGTTAATTTTTAGTTTTCTGAGCCAGTGTGTAGCCTTTAAGGATCCCTTTCTATTTGAGTTTGACACCATTGACCTGGAAAACTGGCTCAAAGAGAAACAGTTTTATCCTGTATAGATTCATCTGACTCAGATGTATAGTAACAAATCTAACATGTGGCCATAGGATTTTTATATTCCTAGACAAAAAAAAAAAAAACCAAAAACTCACCTCTATATTGACTTTAAAATTCCTCCAAAAAGGAGTAAGAGAAAATAGTCATAGAAAAAGGCAAACAATCTTCTCCCTTCAGAAAGCTGCCCAAACAGGCATGTCTTTGAATTTTTCTGTTTCTGTTCTAAAGGGAACTCTCCAACTAAATTGTAGCAGTAAAAGCAAAAACTAAACAAAAAAGGGGGTGTCCAGAAACTAAATGCAGACCAGGAAACAGTACTGAACACTCACCCCCAAACGTTTGTTAGTACTTAATGAGGCATAGCTTTTTTAAAGAATGTAATACTGGTTTTCCTAATGACCACCTCTGATCAGCCACAGTCAGATGTGTTGGAACTTGACTCTAACATAGTGATGTCATTTGGTCCACTTTGAGAATGAAGAACAACAGTCATACCCCTAGAAATGTTATAAATGTATATGTTTACGTAAATGTGCATACATACTTTCATATGCCATGTATGAGAACCTCTGCAGATTAACAGATGTAAGAGGTCAATTGTAAGAGAATTCTACAGTGAATAGAACAGTTACACAGACATAAGATAATAACCTAAGAAATGCCATGTTGGCCCAGCCCTGCTTTCTATCCAGTCCATTTTCTGGTATGGGCACCTTGTGATGTTTTGTGGAAGGGTGTGCTGTCAGCTTCAAGAGGTCTTCAGGGAGAAGCCCCTGAAAGCACCTAATATCTGTTCATCATATCTCTAAAGCCTTGAGCATATTGATGTTACCAAACATGATCATACACTCTTTGGAGAGGTGGCCAACTGTTGTGGGAAGAGCAGTGGGGTCAGGAATCATTTAGCTGCATGTCCCGTTCCCCCCCCCCACGTGGATTATGTGATCCACCACTGGCATGTCCCCTGACCTTTCCAAGATGCAGTTTCCTAGTCTGTTAAAAAGGGTTGATCTGTCATCTAGACTGAGGAGGAGAAACAGGAGTCACTAATTCATACAGAAAGATTCTGACAGACCACAATATTAACTTAGTTTTTGTTTTCAATGTATTTTTATTTTTAAAAATATTTCTCAGTTACATTTTACCCTAGTTCAGCATGTACTCAGGGGTCTTGTAGGCTGTGTGTTTGACACCTCTGACCTACACCATGCTTCTTCATTAAACTATTCCATCTATAAAAACTGGAACTTTTAAAACCCCACGCCTTTACCTTTAACTTTCCCCTATTTCTTGACTCCTATTGACGGTTTTTTTCCCTTAACTTTCTTAAGTGTAGTCACTTAATTCATCAAGGTGTTGAGGAACAAATGAGATAACAGGTGCAGAGTGCTTTGCAGACCTTTAAATTTAAAGCACCGTCCAGTGTCAGTTACAACAATTCATTGTACACAACAGCACATTAATTTTATCTTGATGCACTAGGTTAGTTAGCGTGTACGATAATAGGTATGAAAGGAATTGTACACTGCAGAGATTAATGTGTGCTAGAAGCATGAGGTAGGTTTTGCAGAAGGGCTGGAGTTTGAATTTGACCTTGAAAGATGTGGGTAAGAAAAGAAAAGTAGATTGACAGCGATCAGAACGAACTATTCTTAAAAACGTCTTCCCAGGCCTGGAATCCTGCTGCTGAAGATCAGTGCTTTGACAGATGCCACAGACTTGGCCAGAAGCAGGAAGTGGTCATCACAAAGGTCTGTTTTTGTCCAGCTTATTGTTTCCTTAGTCTTTAAAAACATACATACTGTGTTCAGAGGATCATAACGCCCATTATTTAGTGTAGTGCACTGAATTGGGGCTCTTGGAGAGTTTGCTCCTTTGAATATGAAGTTGTTTTTATCAGACATCATAGTTACAGTTTGCTTTCTGCCTTAAGGCCAAGTACTTAGTTGATAGTAAGAGAATCGTATTGAGTAGTAGCATGAAGAATTAATTCTCAACTTTCTAATTATGGTGCCATAAATAGAAAAGGGGAGGAATATCGTAATTCCCAGTTTCTGCAGTTGGCTGTGTACGTTCCATGTGATTATAGGATCACAGATCTTGAGCTGGAAGGAAACTTCACACGCCCGCTAGTCAGTCTGCCCCATCCCATTTAGTTCCCTCTTGGCCTTCCTCCCCCATTTTACACCTGAGGAATGAGGTCCATGAGTAGAGATGATTTGCTTAAAGCCACACAGCTGGTCAGAGACACGATTTACTCGTCTTCTGACTTCAGAGTCAGAGTTCTTTCCTTGTACCATGCTGCTTTCTTTGCCTTTATGATGCATAGCTTAAAGTTGTGAAATATTTGTGAAAAATCACAACGAATTTTCTGCACTAGAAAATGTTTCCCCAACTTTTGAAAAATGATTTCATTGTTTCTCAGATTGACTGTGGGAGCTTCAGATTTTGATTGTGTATTTGCCTTAGAAGCATCCACATGATGCAACAGTTAAACATTTGATAGAGGATCTGCAATGTTTTGGTTTCATGTTAGTGAATTTAGTAAGTGTGGTTTTTAAAATCCTTGTTTGTTTTTATTTTTTAAGTTCATTGTGAAGGACTCTGTGGAAGAAAATATGCTGAAAATACAGAACAAAAAGAGGGAACTTGCTGCAGGAGCCTTTGGAACCAAAAAGCCTAATGCTAGTGAGATGAAACAAGCCAAAATTAATGAAATCAAAACTTTAATTGATTTGTAATTTGTATGGTTTTAGGCCAGGTGAGTTTAACTGGTCAAATACAGATTTACAAAATCTTTGGAAGAGGTAATTTGGAGCCTGCAATTTGTGTCTTTCTTAAAAAGGTACAGAACATCTTTATTAGTGACAAGATAATTGACATGTTATCTCTTCTGAATCTGAACTTGTTCTTAATGATAGTTCAAATAGCAATAAGTACTACTGTGTACAGTGACCTAAAATAATTTTATGGGAGAGAATTACTTTAGTATTCTACTTTCATAATACCCATCCTAAGTATTCTTAAACTAATTCCCACCAGGTACACAGCCTTTTCACTTTTGACAGAATGTCAGGCCTTTTGAGCAAATAAGTTGTTTTCTATGTTGACCTCTTATTGTTATTCGCTCCAGTCTCCTCGATGTGCTTTTTTTTTTTGATGAAATAGATTCAAATTATCTCTCTAAATTTAATTCCCAAGATTGAAATATACACAGAATGTGTAGTGAATTGATTCATTGGTACTTTATTCAGAACCAAATTGTATGAGAGGCCAAAGTGTTGGGTCAACAAATTAATTTTATGTAGTTAAAAAAAATTTAGAAGCTGTGTTATAGCAGTACATTCCCCATTATAGTCAAGTAGCACTATATGAAGTGTTTAAAATGTATCTTGGTACTTAGGTCATACATACAGGGAAAAAAAATCATTCCACCTTATTTGATTTGACAGTTTAAATTATGGAAATGCTAAAAAGAGACATTTCTGTAAGTAGATAGTTTTCACTCATGAAGCTTTTTTGAAAAATGACTTTGTAAACTTTTCTAATTCTGAAGTCTGCTTGGGTGTGTGGTTGAACTAGATGGCCTGACCTAATAAGGTCCATTCACCTCTAAGGTTCTGTGATTCTATTAACATCTTGGTCCTGATTCCTCATAAATCTCTTGTGCATGTTCAAAACATCAGAACATTTGGAACTTAAAAAGAATTCATTCTCATATGCCCATAGAAACCCAGTCATCTTTATTACTTTATGTTAATAAGAAAACTATTAATGGTTGTCACAGAATTCCAGATGGTCCTCTGAGTGCTATTTTAAAATATATATATAAATTCAGTGATCAGGTTTAGATAGTCAGTGTTACTTCCATATGGAAATAGTTTAGAGAATGTATTTTTTTTTATGAGAAAAGATGCATTAATAACTGTGATGAGAAAAGATTCATTTTTGGTACAGATGTAAAAGCACCTTAGATTTTACTTATAGTATTTGGTGTCACCTGACTGAAAAGCAGGGAACATTACGGGCAGTTTAAAATTGTGGCATATGTGTTTTAAGGTTAGGAGTAAATCTTCCCTAAAGCCTAAATTTAGAATTGACTCATGTCAGGTATGCTGGCAGCTAAGCTTGCGTTTTCCTATGTAGTTTCTTCTACCATTGTTAAAAGCAATTGATTCATACCAGATGAAACTAGGAGCTTTGTGGCACGTCTCCCTGGGTCGGGGAATGGGAGTTGGGGGCTGTATCCTTAACCTTCAGGAGCTGCTTAAGGAGCAGACTGCAGAGAAGCTTTACTGATCTTTGGCCATAGAAGCTTTGGGCAGTTAGAAATATAGCTCAGAACCTGAATTTTCCTACAAACAAAATTGGATTGACTTGTACAACTCCTTCTCCCTCCGAGTTTCTGTAAAGTTAAGAAATCCCTTGTCTCCTTTCCCAAACATTTGCTGAGTTTCTTTTCCCTCGTTTCCAGTATTTATTTTGGTGAGTTCTTTCAAAAGTACAAATATTTCCTTAATGTATTGTTAAAGAAAATATGCAAACTACTTTGAAATTTGGGGATGGATACTGGAATTTTAACTTAAGTTAGTGCTGTGTTATGAGCCAGTTTGAGTTTCTGTGATACAGAAGAAGCTCACTGTGAACAGTTTTGTTGTAAAAGGTAGATGCTATGCCCTATGCATTTGTAGTCTGGATTGGATTTCTGTGTTACATTTAAAATCAATAAAAATGTTAGAATTAATTCCACTGGCCTCTTCACTCCTGTAACTTGTCGTGGTAATTTTTTTTCCCAAAAATGCCAACAACCTTATCATTAAATCTCACATTTAAGGGAGGTAAGTCCTGTTTTATAAATCACGGGCTTCTTCCAATTCTACCAACATGGAGTAAAAAAAAAATGGAGTGATGAGCTGAGAGTGAGGCTACCTCATTGGACCGTGTATGTGGTTGGGCTGGGATCCATAGAACACTTCGCTGAAGGTGGCTCATGGCCACCCGAACTGAAGGCTACCCAGGGTCCCCAACTGCATGTCCAAGACACCCACTTCACTGCTTCGTACTTGAGTTTCTTCTACTTTGAGATAAGGATAACCTATGTGCCCTTCATATAGAACCATAGGAGGATGAAATGAGATGGCAAGGCACAAAAGTTTACTGGGCTTGCTCCTCCCTCCAGCTGTGGGCACAGGCCACCATGTGTTAGCAAGCACCATCACCCTTGGGGCTGACACCTAACTGAGAAGTGAACAGGGTCAAGGGGTTTTGGTGGAAAATGCCTGAATTCCTGTGTATCCTTATTTTCCCTGCTGATGAGGGGGTGTCACTGTACTGACACTGGTGGGGTTTGTGAGCCATTTCATTTTTCCTGATTGTCTAGGATTTAGTTCATGGGAGATTGGGAGCTAATTCATTCAAAGCTAAAGGTTAATCATTTAGTTCATGAATAGAAAAGTCAAAGCAAAAGGTAAAAAGAGGTAGTTATCTATTTCTTCCTAATATGTTTAGAGGAAATGAGTTGTGATCTATTTCTTGGTTTTGTGTAGAGCTGATGGGTGAAACCAAAATGGAGTTTGCATTCAAGTCTTCTGACTTTAAAGACCAGAAACCTCATTATTACAAAAGATAAGTTTGTTAATGAAGCTAAGTAGAGAACAAGTGATATTTATGTGAAAGAAATTCTCATTACAGAATACAGCTAATTTACCCCTTTGAAATAAGTAGATAATTAAAACATTCTTCTAGGCCAGGTGTGGGGAACCTGAGACCTCACAGCTCTTGAGTAATGGGGTGGGGACCAGTTATTTCATATGTCCATGAATTTTTCCTAGTCAATTTTGTCTTTTTCAGTTCTTAAAGATGAAGTTTTTATAGACTTGGAAACTAAGGTGTGTGTTGAATGTGAGTGTGATATCAATCAAAAAATGTTTCCATTAGACTGCAAGTTCCTTGAGGGCAGGCACACTGTCTTTGCCTTTCTTTTTAGCTTAGTGCTAGGCACACAGGTACTTAATAGGTACTTAGTGACAGACATTTTTTCTGTGCTTATCACGTCGGGGACTAGTAATTGAAGCTTAATGAATATCTCTATGTCAAAACATATCTTGAGCCCAACAGCTGATGTTTTATATCCTCCAAATTAATCCCCAAAGCTAATTTGGTGATTCCTCAATATCAGATTTTTCTCTTTAAAGGAAAAGTAACAACTAGTGCTTGATTATACTTTGAAAGCAAAAGAGGTAAATCTTCCATATGAAAGTGGTGTTATTTGAATAGGAGTGGTTATGTGCATCTCACAAATAGACCTACCAACTTAGAGTACTTTATTGGTGTGTGCAAAAGATGTTCTAGATCATAGCTCCTGGACATCGCTAGACCAGATAATGCAATAACGTACTTCTCAAGGGCAGATAACCTGTTCATTTATTGCCTTTGTGTGACTTGTGTCTAGTACAGTGCCAGGCACATAGTAGGAGCTTGATAAATAATGTTGAATGACTTTAGAACCCCATTCTGAGCCCTCCATTTCACAACCACACTGAGGATAACAAAGCTAAGTGTTATAATTCATGCATTTCATAATGTCTTCCATTTAGTGCTTTACCCCTTTCCGTAATATATGTAAAGGAAATGTCTTTACAACATATCTTACTGTAATTTCATTAAAGCAAAGCTTCTGTTGTCCCTTTCATCCCAGAACATGACTGTTGCTCAAAGTCGTTATCCTTGGCATTTCTAAATCTCTGAACCTCTTGATTGATCCATCTCTGGTATTTACCTGTTCAGCCTTGGGCAGGGACCTCAGGTTTCCTAGTCTGTAGAATGAGGGGATTGAACAAGGATGATCCTTGTTCCTTGAGGTCCCATATGGCTCTGAGTCCTATCATCACTTTTTCTAGCCCACAGCAGAGTAGAAGCTACAAATAGAAGAAGGGTGGAAACAGCTGAGATATAAGTGCACTCATTAGTGAGAAATAAATAACAGCTAGATAAGGGAAAATTAAGAACCAGACCAAACTAGCAAAGCACAGAAGGTGGTCACTCAGTTGTAGGCCCTCCATAGCCCTCTGTAGGCCATTGTTATTAATTACAACCTAGTACAACTGTTTAGTATTCTTGTAGGAGAATAAAAACTGCAGACAAGTTAACTTTAGGATTCTAAGGAAGCTAGTTTCTAATAGTAAGTTAATTCTGCCCAAAGTCTGTTGGCATTGTTAGGACTACTCTCCCAGACCCTAGCATTAATAGGTGATCTAATTGGCATGATTAAAACAAAACAAAAACACTTGATGACCAGCCTACTGCTAATGAGCCTCTCCATGCTTAACTAGGCTGGTCTTTGGGCAGGGGACGTACAATCTGTTACTAAGCTAAGTACTTTAAGCCTTTTCAGTTTATTGGATTCTGCCAGCATTGGCATTCTTTGGGTGTGGCTTTAGAGAGCCCAGAGTCACTTCCCCCTTACAAAGAAGCATCACATTAGGCCTTTAGTGCAGGGACTTAGGGAAAACAAATTTGAATTTAGCTCAGATCCAGCCTAATTCCGTTCCTCACATATGAAACCTGCCTTCCATCTCTGCCTTTGCACTGGCTATCTCTTATGTTTGGGATGTGGTTTTTCACTTCAAGATGAAGCTTGAGCATCACTTTCTACATGTATTCTTTTCTGATTCACCCCAAATGCTAGTGCCCTCCCTTCCAACCTATCTTGCAGTAAACTACTTTGTATTTATTTTTATCCCATTTGTATATGTACATATACAGTTGTTTTCTCTATTATATAAACTACTTATGAGTAGGGATTATTTTGTTGTATTAGCATCCTAGCATCTAGTAATGTGCTTGGCGTGTAGTAAATGCTTAATAAAAGCTTATTAATTCAGAGATAGGAGAGAAATGAATCCTGACAAATCTAGCTTTAAGAAAAGCCAAATCTGAAAAGATATCCATATCTTACCCTGAAAAATTCAGGGATATTCAAGAATATTTTTGGCCAAGCTAGAAAGATTTAGTGGTTTGAATCAGTGTAGAGAAGAACATAGTACCCTCTCCCATCATTCCAACATACAACTTCTGGAATTTTCTCTTCCAGAAGGTTGCCTTTAACTAATTGGCAGATTGGCAGTGACTTGCCCTAGCTCCCTAGTTACTACCACCCCTCTATTAAATGTGCTTATGTTTGCAATCTTAAAAAAAAAGTTTTACATCAGTCCTTAAGGTTTCTATTTATATCAAGGTTGTCTGCCTTAAATGTATTATGTTCCTCAAGGACGAGCACGGTGGTCTGAAACCAGTTGTGTGGTGATTTGCAATTGTGTGCTTAAATACTATGCCAACAGTACAAGCTACATTTAAGATAAGAATATGGTTAGATTTTGTTGACATTTAGGGTTTTCTTGGCAAAGACACTGGAGTGGTTTGCCATTTTCTTCACCAGCTCGTTTTTACGGGAAACTGAGGCAAACAGAGTTAAGTGACTTGCCTAAGGTCACATAGCTAATAAGTATCTGAGGCCAGATTTGAACTCAGGAAGATAATTCTTCCTGATTCTAGGCCCAGCGTTATATCCACTGTGCCACCTAGCTGCCTGCTTTGTTCCTTTAGGTCCTGTTTATTTCCATACTTTAAAAAGGTCCCTAATTTCATCATTATGGGTACTCTGCCCCCACTAATGCGGACCCCAATATTGATACTGCAATAGACAGTTTTATGAGTAGTCTTGGCAACCCACCACCCTACCCCCTGCCAAATGTCATCAATCTCTGGCCAAGAACCTTTATGAATTTAGCTTAGTCTGGCTTTTGTGAGGCAGACACATATCCAATCAATTCAAGATGGAGCCTTTCCATCTTGATAGGTTTTCCCAGAGCTTGTGCTTCATTGGCATTACCTTTGGGAACCCAAGGTCATCTCCACACTATGAGGAGACATTGTAGGAGGACTTAGGTAGGGGATCTTAGTAGCACATTCAATTTTTTTTAAACAGATGCAGGCAGCACAGTGGATGGAGCACTGGACTTTGGTGTTAAGAAAACCCTAATTATAAATCCTGCCTCAGACATTTGCCAGCTGTGTATACTCCTGGGCCAGTCACTTCTCAACCTCAGTTTTCTCTCTGTTCTGTAAAATGGGGTTAACAATAGCACATAATTCAGAGGTTGTTTGTGAGGGTCAAATGAGATGATGTATGAAGAAAATTTTATGAAACTTAGTGCAATATATAAATACTAGCTGATAGTATTGTTGTCATGGCATGCTTAGCTTGTGGACCAAGGGAACCTCTAGACCTTTTAAGGTCATTGTGCTCCTTCAGTGTTCTATGTGGCTCTTTTCCCACTGGGAAATACATTCTTTAGGGGCATTTCAAACTTCTAAGGATCACTAGTCATGATCCTCTCCTGCCAGGGGCTCGTCATCATTTCCAACTTTGAAATACCTGGGAATTTAATGAGCAAACCTTTCATTCCATTGTCTAGGTCGCTAATTCAGAATGTCAGCCTAGGTTTGTTTTTTTGTGGAATACTGTTATATTCCATATAATGGTGCTAAATGAATGATTACAGTTTGAATATTTGAGCTTCTAACTGTCAGGATGCTCAATGGTTGAGCTGGTATCTTTTAAATTTTCAAAGAGTGTGTCACACAGAGTTTAATCAAAAGCTGATGTCAGGTCTTATTATCACATTACCAGGTCTTATCACACTGTCAAAGGAGGACACTCTAGGCATCAGAATTATTTGGTTTTGTCTTTTCCCCAGGTGTTTGCAAAGGAGTTATGTCTTCTGGAACTTTCCCAACCTTACTTTGCTCTTCAAAATGATTCTCTGTCTGTATGTACATAGGTATTATACACACACACACACACACCCCTATATGTATACGTATAAATATATACGTATACATATAATCACATCACAATATGCTAAGGAGCTATGCAGGATTTCAGTGGTGTGGATACTTTCTCCTTTCCACTGATAAGACTGCAGTGTCTCAACACCTTATGGGGTTGATGGGCTTTGGGACTTGCTGTGGCCATAAAACAGCTGATCCCATTTTAAGCTACTCAATATGTGAAAGAAAAAAAAAGATTATGAGAATTCCCAGTACAAGTCAGGCAAATTTTCCTCAAGAAAACTAGTTTTGAACCAAGATAGACAAGCAAAAATTCACTGTTAAGTGTTTATTTTTTGTACATAGTGCCACTGGAGGTAAGCATTCAGAAAACTCACTCTCATCCCCCAAACATATAGAACTGCTTTCCAGTACGCTACCTTACTGTACAAAGAAAACTGGTAAAAAACAAAACAAAACAAAACAAAACTTGAGTTTCTTAAAGAGAGATAAAAAGGGTGTTGTCATTTGTGGTAGCAGTTATTAAATTTGTGACTCATTTTGACAGTGTTACATTGCTTTTCCATAAAAGAAGAATTGGGACCACTAGGGCAGTCTCTGATCAATCCTGAAATATCTATCTACCACGACAAAGACAGTGAGGCATATAGCATCATTCCCACTTATCTTCATGAATATAAAGGGGAGCTGATTGGAGCCCAGCTCTTCAAGTTTCAGGAGCTGAGGCCAATAGCTTAATGGCTTCATTCCCTCTCATCAGATTTATTGGTAATTGGCATTTAATAGAAAATTTCTTAAATTTTCTCTGAATGATCGGGCGAGGAGTCACTCAGCAATTAATTGACCAGAAAAAGAGCTTTTTACTTCTTGACTTTTGTCCAGTTTTCACCTTTAGTACTATAAACCTTCAAATGTGGAACTTTCGTCAAAGCTGCTAGCAACTGTAACAACCATACTCAACACTTTTCTAGATGCTAAATTATCTGGAAACAGTCCCGTGTAGCCGATGTTTGCACAGAGAAAATGGAGATGTTTTCTACTGAAGGTAAGTGTCCAATTTCCTCTGGATGTTGTCAAAGGAATCTGCTCCCATGTAATCAGCCTGGCCTTGCTCCCACCGCTCCTTACGTTCTTCTGAGGATATAAATGGTTGAGGTGGAGGGCTGAGGTCCCCAATGGACATATGTGAGATTGCATCTGTGACTTCCTCCTAGAAGAAGAAACATAATCAAGGCCTCCATGAGAGCTGGAAATTACTATTTAAAAAAAAAAAAGTCTCTAAAGAATGCAGTAAATGGAAGGGAAGAGAAGCTGGGATGAATTGTCATGCAAAGAAACAAAACAAAACAGAACCAAAAAAAAAGCCAGAAATAAAATGTAAAAATAAATCAGGAAACAACATTTAAAAGGTTATATGATTTTCCTAGCAAAATGAACACTGTTCTCGGTGAAAACATCAGAAAGGCACAGGTATTAGGGTTAGGTTTAAGGTCTGCATACCTTTCTACAGAAGCCACAAGAGAAAGCCAGAGTATAGGCCAAACCCGAAAGCTGCAAACAGTTCATCAGAGAGGGTAAGATGGATAAGGGAAAGCATGTCTCATTCTAAGCTCTTTATCCGCATGGGCTTGGAAAGATGGAGAGCTTATAGGACCCCAAGACACAACAGAGCTGACCCACACAGGAAAGCCATATGAGTTTGGGAGCCAAAATTTACTGAACTCACGGAAGAGAGAGAAGTCCCTCAATTTTTATCAGTTCAGTCTGCTTAATCTCTAAGTGCCCTAGTTCCCCATCTTGAGCTTACTGTGGAGTCCAGAGTTCCTAGAAGGCTCTGTGTAAATTATAGGGCAAACCTATTTATTATTATTTTATGAAACCCAATCTCTCCAGCAGGTATCAGCAAGGCTCTTGCTTCCAATTTACAGGATTACAAATACAGAGATCATCTGGTCCAATCCTTCCATTAGAGAGATGGGATCTGGAGAAGTCACAAGGTGAGGGAGCTGGGGTTTGGACCCAAGTCCCCCAGCTCTTAATCCTGGCCCCCCCCTTTTTTTAACTATATCATACTTGTTTGCAGACATTTTAATTCATTTTATAATACTTTCATTGTGAAAAAACGTACTAGCAACCCTAAGATGGAAAAAAGGAAAGCCAGCTGAGTGACATGCAGTTGCTGTTCTTTCCTTTAGCATGAGAAACCCATTTCACTACAGTAATAATCAGCAACCCCCCAAATTTCATTTTGGCCTATACAACTCAACTGTCCTTTGATCCTTGGGGACGTATGTTCTAGCACCATTTTATTACAGCTGAGACTCATAGGCTCATGGATATAGAGTTGGGGGGACCAGCTGCCACCCCTGAATTCACTCTCTCACACATGCTCTCTTATCCCTTTCTCTTATAAGGGTGAGTTAGTGAGACCCTAGGCCTCTTGTAATCCCTGGTTGAAGCTCTGTCTTCCGTGGCTCTTATCCTTGTTTTGCCTTCAAAGCCCCTCCTAACAACTTTTTCTAGTTGTAAGGGTGGCCAGACCTTCTGCTTGCAAGGCCACAGAGCTGTCATTGTTTCTTCTTTAAGGCTGACATTTATTAACAGCAACAATAATAAGTTGGACCCATTTTGAATTCTTTGGCAGTAAGAGTCCGCTTCTAGAAGTGCATCATCACTGAATGAATGTCAAGGCTGGAAGAAAATCCAGAGGTTGTCTATCCTAATCTTTCCTTTTAACAGATTAAAAACCAAGGCCTGGAGAGGGTAGCTGCAAACTCTTTTCTTCAAACCTTCACAAAGGCAGCCAAAAGCAAGGCTCTGTAACTGTAACTTTTCTAAGGGTAGGTGGGGAAACAGGAGAAATGGACAGAAGGAAGGCAAGAATCAGAAGATAAGGATGATGGATGACCTGGTCGTCTGTGCCTGATCAGCTGACCCTCCATCACCCCTGCTCTTCCTTATACTTCCTCACTATCATCTCACACTTAACTCCATCTTCATTCTGAATTTCCTAAGGGAGGAATCTTAAAGGGAAGCTTTAAAAGGAGCTGAGTATAGGTTAGTACTCTTCTCTCTAAGCAGATTCCTTTTGATAGCTCTTGCCTCATGGTTGGACAACATTGTGGCCACCAAAATACCGAGGGGACTTTTGCCATATTATTTTCATGCGGCAACTTCACTGCAAACATCTTAGCCTCTTATACAGATGGAAAAATTATTGACCAAAGAATGCTTGGGTATTTATGATTTCTAAAACATGCAAAAGGTTAGAGCACTTAACATTTTGACATATAGCCTATGTTATTTATCACTTGACATCAGCAACATCACTTGAGATCTCTTAATAAAGCATTGGTCATTATATAATTATTATTGGTTATTATTGTGATTTCTTCCACCATGGTTTGTGTTTTCTGCTCTAGCTGTACCTGCTTCCCCAACCCACTTCTATTCAAAGATTCAATGAGCCCCTACCGAGGATGGCTTCAATTTTCCTTCCATCAAAACATGTCCCTCTCCTGCTTCTTTCTGCTAGAGATGCTCCACCCCTATTAAGGCTTTCCAGATGAACCCCAGCTGGCCCCAGTTGCTTCGGAATCTTCCTGGCAGTGCCCTTATGCTGTGCCCAGCTGGATTTGAGATGTACTCACTTCTCTTGGATAAAACATTCTCTATGTCCTGCCATACAGAGCAAGGTCTATATTAGTACATTTCCCAGGTGTTGCTTTACATCTTTGAAAGCAGAGGCCAGTCATACTGCCTTAATTTCCTCTGCATTACCCAACAGGTTCCTGAGTACAAATGCAATACTCTGTAGGCTTAATAAGCAAATGGGCCAACTATGACTCTTCTTACTGTAAATGTTATTCATTTTTGGCTTCAATTCTTAGATACTAAGTTGATGGCTTTAATTAGATTAGCTGCTTTTCTTTTTCACCCCCTCTGTCCTCCCACCTTCAAACCAGGTCAGAAGCTGCATCGTGTCACTCAAAAAGAGAAAACAAACCCTACCGCGTTAAAGGCTGTGAAGGTGTCTTTAATAACCCCAAACTGCTGGAGTAAAGGCAGAATGTTGGTGGTGAAGATGTCCCACCACATGGTGAGGAATTGGGGGTCGATCACAGTGGGGTCATGAGTGTCACTCCTGACGCTTTTCGTTTTGGGGTCGTAGGTATAGTTCCATGGTTTGATGCGTCCCAGGAAATGCACGACTTTTGCATTTGCCCCAAACCTGACAGGTAAACAGACACACTAGAAGTCATCATTCCCAGGGCTGACTGGAAAACTGCCGTATTTACTGTCTTTTCGGCTGCAATAGAAGTTCTGCTGTGGTGGCCAACAAAGACAGTGACTTTGGGACAGGATGCAATGAAAGTATCTTTTTTCTACCACTGGGAAAATAGGTTGGTCATCTACTGGTCCTACTTTTCCAGAAGTGAGATCACCATTGGGTTGGGGTAATCAGATCCCAAAGCAAGTGGAATTCTGAAGGGGAGCTTTGGAAGAAAAGCAAAGGTGTACAGGTAGACTTGTACCTGATACATGTGGGAGACAGTAAGTCTCAACAGTCTGTTCAATTGTCTACCCTTTCCCCCTGCCCCTGCTATCATCAACTCTTACCATTGCCTAGAGAGGGCTGCCTCTCCCTGATGGGAAACACCTGCCTGAGACAGAAAGAAGCATAAAACCAGAGAAAGAAACAAATGGCTTCTGGTCTAGAAGTGGTGGCCAAAACCCTGAACCTAGCTCATCATACAGCTCATTTGAAACAGGTCCTAGCTCTGAGCATGAAGTCAGGAAGACCTGACTTCAAATCCAGCCTCAGACACTTCCTTAGCTGTGTGACCCAGGGCAAGTTAATTCACCGTCATCTGCTTCACTTTCCTCAACTGTAAAATGGGGATAATAATAGCACCTACCTGTTGGAGTTGTTATAAGGATTAAAAAATGAGATTAAAAAAAAATTTTCACGAGATAACATTTGTAAAGTTGTTTGCAAACCTTAAGGCACTATATAAATAATAGCTAGCTAGCTATGGTGGTGGTAGTGGTAGTGGTGGTAGTAGGAGTAGTAGTGGTGGTAGTAGTATTAATAGTGCTAGTGGTGGTGGTAGTGGTAGTAGTGGTAGTAGTAGTAATAGTATTAATTGTGCTAGTGGTGGTGGTAGTAGTAATAGCTGCAGTAGTAGTGGTGGTGGTGGTGGTGGTAGTAATAAAGGGGATGGATGAGAAATGTTGCATCACCTTGCTCTGTAAGATATTTCTGCAGAAAACCAGTATTTCTGTAATCCAGATATGAAATTATTTTGCATTTCTCAACTCTGAAACCCATGTGGCTTATTTGAAAGTGCTTTGCATCTTGCTTTTTGGTGAGATCTTCCTGGTTGACGTAGGAGGATTCTTAGAAGAGGCACAGAGCAACTCCTATTTCTTCAGAGTGGAAAATTAGTCCTACTTGGCCAAATGAACCTATTAGCACCTACTGTCCCACTGTGACTGCCCATGTGGGTCTTATTCATTGCAATTGGAACCCATGTAACTGGGAGGGTACAAGGGAGAGGGAAGGCCTTGATTCTACTTCTCTCTAAGAGGGGGTGTTTTAAAGGCCTGTTTATTTCCTCATAGTTTACAAATAGTAAAACCCCTTAAAGCGTCTAAAAAGAAGCTAAGCAGGGCAAGGAAAAAAAAAATCAAAACCCTTGATTCTCTTCTTGGCAAAAATGTTCCTCAAGGGGAGGCCAGTGCCCACACTGGGGAGGGAAATGGGAGGGTGTCCTTGATAATTATAATAATAATAAACAATCCTAACAAGCATTCTGAAGCTGATAACCTCATAACAACCCTGTTGTATCCAACCCCAACCCTGACAAAGCCTGGATGCTCCCCTTTTCTTCTCTGTCTCTTAGAATCTCTAGCATCCTTCAAAAGTAAGTTTAAGTGCCTTTCCCTGTAAGAAGCTTATCTGGATCCCACCATGTTTCTAGTATCCTCTGGGTTCCTCCACCCCTAAAATATATACTTTCTTTGCATATGTTTTGTATTTATTTACCTATGTTTATATTGTTTGTTCCCAAGAGGCTCCTTGAGGACAGGGACTGTTTGGTTTTTGTCTTTGTATACCCAGTGTCTAGCACAGAATAGGTGCTTACTAAATGCTTGTTGAACATTTATAAATCCCCACTTTACAAATGGGAAAACAGAGGCTCATAT